GGCTCCCATCAAATGACTGTAGCAGCCCAGGTTTACCAAGCCCTTGGCAAGTTCCAGGCATTATGTATCTTAATATCTTAGCTCATGAGAGGCTGCTTCAGAAAGTAGGTACTATCCTGGGCCCATTGTATTAGGTTGGCCAAAAGGTTCGTTTAAGTGTTTCAGTAACATCTTACAGAAAAACCCAAGGAATCTTTTGGCCAACCCAATAAACATGGAGACACAGATGCTCAGAGAGATTATGTAATTTGCCTACCTCACAAGGCAGAGCTGGGTCTGAGCCTGACCCCATAACCATGCTGAAACTCTCACCAGTTAACTAAGTCAGAAGGCAGCTCTACTTCTTGGAACAGCTTCACTGTTTTTAATAGTGGTAATAACATCACAAGTAAAGCACAGACAACTGTTTTTAAAATTTTTTTGATTTGTAAACTAAACAAACTTGATCTACAAATTACTGAGAAAATATAAATATGAAGCCATACCATATAATTACTAGTATTACTACTACTAACTCTAACCTCACCAAAGTTATGTGAAGATGTTCTATGAATACAACAATATAATTTTCTATACCACAAAAAATCTCCCAGTAATCCTTTGGAAATCAGTGTGGGGAACATTTTCTGAGGGCTCTCCAAGACAGACCCAGTTCCTGCCCACAGGAGAGCCTGACATTTCCAAGAACAAACTCTCCACCATCTACTTTTGGGGTTTCTTTGGTGTCTCTGGGCTATAAAACCTAGTAATTTACTTTTCCTCCTGAAGACTAGGGTAGAAATAGCCTTAACTTCCTTTTGAAAACCAAAAGTCACAGCTGTTTGAGTAGACAAACCAAGGAGGGCGGGGTCCAGGGAAGAATCTTCTGAAGGGATTTTTCTGGCCAGAGACACAACTTTCACTGGGACCATACCCTCCCAGGACAAGTGAATATGCTGAAGCTGACTGGATACAAACCAAATTCTCCACAAGACTGTTTGACTGCTTCTGGTCCCTAATGTTTGTAACTAAGACACTCAAAATTGAATTTCAACAAGAAAAGTAAGGAAAAGGGAGATCTCTGACTTCTGTTAAATCCTTTTTTTACTACCAGGAGATGCCTTACTCAGTTTAAGAATTAGGCATGCTTGAGCTGTTCGTAACCACACTCCAGTCATTCCCAGGCATGCCACCTTTTCTGTTTTGTTTTTTAACAGGGGAACCACATTCTGCTTTAGAGAAAGCAAAAATGTACAGTAATTTCAAAGGAAAGGAAAAAGGGCTGCCATGTCAATAAAACTATACTTAAATAAATATTTTAAGAAGTTCCTTAAAAACCATTTTTTTCCCATTTATGTTTAATTGGAGGATAACTGCTTCACAATGTTGTATTGGTTTCTGCCGCATGACAATGTAAATCAGCCATACGTACACCTATGTCCCCTCCCTCTTGAACCTCACTCCTACCTACTCCCATCCTGCCCCCCAAGGTTGTCACAGAGCACTGGGTTGACCTCCCTGTGTAAAAGCACACGCTCAGTTGCTAAGTCATGTCTGACTCTTTGCAACCCCGTGGACTGTAGCCCGCCAGGCTTCTCTGTCCATAGAATTTCCCAGGCAATAATACTGGAGCTGGTTACCATTCCCTTCTCCAGGGGATTTTCCTGACCCAGGGATGGAACCTATGTTTCCTGTGTCTCCTCCATTGACAGGTGGATTCTTTACTGACTGAACCACCTGGAAAGTCCCCACTGTGTAAAAACCGTTTTTTAATTAATTAAGAGGTTTAGTAGAATATCCAGAAAACTGCTATAGCAGTAAACAGTTGTGGTTTTTCTCTTATTTTGTTTTTGCATTCTCTTAGAAGAGCAGGAACTTAGATCACACAAATCCATGAGTTCCTGCTTCTAAGCCCGCCCTTTCGACATCCTTACATGGTCAGCATTGCTCTCCTCCTCAGGATGTTAAAATCATCTAGCTCAAAATAGGCATATTCAAAAGAAATCTGGAAAAAAAAAAAAAAGAAAGAAACCTGGCACAGAGGAGGGCAAAAGTAAAAGGTCAACACGAAAAAAAACTGTCATGTCACTACAATTTCCAAGCTACAGATCCATTCTCAGGGGTGAATAAAGGGCTGTTTCAATAGAATGGTTGGGGTAGCAACTCTTTTTTTTTTTTTTTCCAGTCTGAATTCCTTAAATAAATATCAAGAATCCTTTCTTCAAAGCAGTAACTCTGTCGTATCTTCTGACATTTGGGGAGAACCCAATCCCAGACAGGAATACTGGAGTGGGCTGAACCTGCATCTCCTGCTGGGCAGGCAGATTCTTCACTGCTGAGACACCAGGGAAGCCTGAGCAATAAACTGTGAAATCCAGACAGACACAGTATGAGTGGGCGCACCACCAGTCGCTGCAGATAAGGGGCTCCAAAGTGGAAGCCTGAGAGATCCGTGCGCATCAGGGTCATCAGGGAGGGCTTTGAGAAGTTAAGACCTAAGCCCATAGGGATGGCGTGAGAGAAGAGGCGTTCTGCAGCTTAAGAATAAACATGGAGCCTTTGTGGAATGGGGGTGGGCATGGAACTGCATCATAAACAGATGAGACAAACATACATGTGATCTGGAACATTTCTATCCACTGCAGCTGTAAGCTCCTATTCCCAACAGCTTTCCTTGGTCACTCAAAACAGCTGGACAAATGTAGGTTACAATTGACAGTACTGGTGGGATAGGATATGGCAGCTAATGCAAGGGCCAGATCTGAAGTTATGACTCCACGGGCTCTCATTAAATAACTCAGGGTCCTTGAGGTGGGGCGTGTAGGCATAGGAGATCTACCCTCTACTATTTCAAAACCTAAAAAGGGAGGACATGCTGACCTAGGGATTATCTAAATGCATGGTTTCATTTTCTCAGAAATCCTTCACTAGGCTGAAGCAGAGTCATGTCTAATTAATGACACACCTAGTGTAACTAGGGCCTGCAGGCCCTCTCTGCCCGTAGGAGTCACAGGGACAAGACGCCAGGGCAGCTCTGAGGCCATCTGCCACCCGGATAACAGATACAGGAGCAGGTCAGAAGGAGCAAGCTCTCTTACACAGGCCATCCACCCTTTACGACAGAAACTGGACATATCAGCATGAAGCCCAAAGTAAAAAAAAAAAAAAAAATCAACCAAAATTTTCTAGTCTTGATTAACTATAGGGTGCTAAATTCTCAGCAAAATGTCAACAGTCCCTGAGTGAGAGAACTAAGAGTAACCTAACCTGTCCTTGAAGGCAGGAGATATGTGAGAGTTTCTCACTTCAGCAGAATATACTGGGGAATAAGGTACCTCTGGTACACAAACAAATGTTGTAGCCTTCAACGCATAAGAGACAGGCACCTCCAAACCTACCAGTCTTTCTTTCATCTCACAGACATCAGAAGTGCAGAAATATCTAAGTAATCCAGGTAAAATTCCAAACCCGAATTATGCATTCAAACTACATTTACTGAACACCTGTGTCAGGCACTGATACAAGAATCAGAAAAATAAAGAAAGACTAAATCACTCTGAAAGATGGAAGTACAGCTATCCATTATTTCCTTTTATCATACCCAACCACTTAAAGCTCTGGGCAGAAAGTTCTTCTAGTGACCCACTAGCACCAAACAAGTCTCCTTTGCCACCTCTGTGCCCCTGACAAAGGTGGGCCCACGTAGAATGCTCTCACAGTGCTTCACCTACCCAAATCCTCACATCCTTCACATCAGCTCAAGTCCCCATCCTCTTCTCCATCTCATCCCATCCCAAAGTAATGTCTCATTTTTTGAACTACTAACAGTGAGCACCACCATCAGTTTATGTAGAAATGTGTCATTCCCTAATTAATACTTGTATTTATTCAACAAATACTGAATACTAATTATGTGACAGCATTGTCCTAGGGAGCTGTAGAAATTGCCGCAAATGGTACTGATTTTTGCCTCCCCAAAAGAACTCCCTGGGAGCATTCTTCTCTTACACGGCTTTTTAATATCTTCCTGTATAGGCCTGGCTTTGTACTCAGTGCTTAATACCTAACAATTTAATAGAGCCTTAGGCTTCTTTGGTCCAAGCTCACTCAAACTGAAGTTACATAAACTAATGGGGAACAAAAGCAAACGAAGCCATTTCTAAGTGAACTTCCACTTCTTAAAAACCTCAAAAGAACAAGGAAGGAAAAGAAAACCGGCTATGAAAGTGCTGCTGAAACATCACATTTTACTCACACTAACAAAGCACCTCCAATTCCCCCTCCAAGCCACACAAAAAACGACCTTTTCCTCTCAATCCTTACAGCTCTAGATTCAAGTGTTTATTTTAACAACAGACCTTGGAAAAGTTTAGACAAGTCTTTCTAACGCTTTATTTTTTGATGAATAAATCCCCTGATGAATCCTGCATCTGCCACTTAACAGACAAATCCAGTGAGGTTCACTACAAGGAACTGGAATTTAAGCTTCAAGCACAAGAGGAGCTCAAAGAACACTTTGAACGTGATAAACCTAGAGACGATTTTAATATAAACAACAAAAGCCACGTCCTGCAGAGCCTGGTGGAAGGTTCCAAGTTCCCCAAAGAATGGCATCGAGAGCATTTCCTCTAGGGGAACCGCGAGATTCTGCAAGGCGTGGGAGTTTCTGCAGGAGATGAGGGAGATTCAAAATATACTTATTTTTCCTCCTAAAGTGGCTTGTGAGATACAACAGCTGGCACCCTACGGTGAAGCCCGGGCTATGCCATGCGGCGGAGGCTGCCACCTGGGCACTCCCACCATTCTTCGCAGCCGGGTCAGGACAGGACACGAGGAGAGTCCGACGCCGCGCGGACCCGCACCGGCACCCCTCGCCCCTCGGGCCGCCTGCCCTCGCCCCGGGAAACCTAGCAAACCCAGCCCGCCAGGGTCTCCGGATTCCCGATCTCTCCGGGGACCCAGGAGACGGGCGGGGGAAGGGGGGTCTCCAAGCAGCTACCCGGACCCGGAGCGTTACCCACCTGAGCAGACTGGACAGGGCATGGCTCGAGGAGCCAAGACCGCCGCCGCCGCCTCCAGAGCCGCCGCCGCCGCCGCTACCGCCTCCAGAGCCGCCGCCGCCGCCGCCGCCCCCGAAGCCTGAGGAGAGCCGCTTCCCGGACAGCAGCTTCTCCACGGCCGGGAGGTGTCCGGTGCGGGCCGCCTCCAGCAGCTCCTGCTCCTTCCCCATCCCCAGGGCCGCCGCCCCCTGGAACCCGTTCCCTGGGCCGCCGCCGAGCCCGTTCTGGCTCCCAAACTTTCCGTCTCCGGGCAACGCACCCCCCGAGCCGGCCGGGGACACCACCCCCCTCCCCCCGCCTTGTTCCTCAGGGGCGCGTCACTTCCGGGATCCGGCGTCACGCGTCACCGCGCCCCCGCGCCCCGCCCCCGTGCCCACCTAGCTGGGCGGGGCCGCGCGGGCCGGCGCAGGTGGCTGCGGTCTGCGCCTAGTGGACCCGGCCGCACCCTGATAAGCCTTCCCGGCAGAGAGGGCTGCGTCGTGGGGTCACCCGCTGTACAAGTGGAAGGTGACGAGCGCGGTCCACCTGTCCGCGCCCCCCGAAGTGCGCTCCTTCTCCTGATGTTTTGGGAACGCGCAGGGCAGAAAATACGGTAATTCATCCAGGCAGAGTAGAAACAAAGAGAGAAGTGTGGTAACGCGCACCTATATTTGCAAGTCCATTCCCTCTGCACCATAAATATGTCATGGCTGTGGGAACCTAGTGGTAAAAGATGTGAATAAAGTGCCCTCCTCCGCACCTCATGAGGAAAGAGGAGAATTTTAAAAGGGAAATAACCCCCCTTCATGCTCCCAATCCTTGAAATGATTCGTTAAAGCGAAACATTCAAAGGAAAGACTTCCCTTCCTTTAGGATTTGTTTCCTCTTAGTATTTTTTTTTTACCGCCCTTCCCCTCGCCCCACCATGGAGGACCTTAGCTCCCCCATCGAACCATCGTCCCTTGCAGTGGAAACGCAGAGTTCTAACAACTGAAAGGCCAGGGAAGCCCCTGTTTCCTCTTAAATTTGACGGATATTAACCAAACTGACATTAAAGGTCAGATTTGTAAAACCGACTCTGAGCTTGAGTACTGGTGAATTGGGAAACATGCACTGGTAGAAACTGCCCGTTTTGTTTCTGGTACTAGGACTGTTCTGGCTCGAAGTAGTTGTGGAGTTAGTAATCAAATTGGATAAATTCAGTTCAAGCCGTACGACTATTTTTTTAGGTGCATGAGGAACAAAAGAGAAATGCTGACAATTCCATGTTAACACAAGCCTCTGTCCAACTGAACGCGTACAAAGTTGAGTTCCTGTCGGCGTTTGCCCGGGAGCTGCTTCCCACAAGGGCGAACAACGGATGGAGTTTTCTCCTGTCCGCAAACTTTCCTCTGAGGAAAGCAGATTAGGAAGGCGTTAACAGGTTGTGCTTTGAGAAGGACGGAAAGGAAAAAGGAGCCTTCCAGTAAACAACAAAGCCCTTCTTTACAAATGCTGGCTTCTCAAGGTGGAAAATCCACAAACTGATTTCTGTACCCTCTACTTTCCCTATCCGCACCAACAAATAAGAAGTAAAACGAAGCCCTGCAACCCTCTGGGCGAGTCTCTAAATGACCCCTTGGAGCAGCGGTCTTGGTGATATCATCGCAGCGCGACGACCGGAAGTAAGCTGCCGAGCCGCGGGGCTGCGCGGCGTCCTGAGCTCGGGAGTCTTGACTGAGGCGCGATTTCTTCTCCCGGGTTCTAGCCGCGATGGATAATGCCTGCGAATCGCCCACGGAAAAAGGCGGAGAGACCGGGGAATCAGACGAGCCGACGGCGGCTCCTGGGGGCTCCAGGGTTACAGATACGGACGGAATCCCGGAGGAAACGGACGGTGACGGCGACGGGGAATTGAAAGAGGCCGCCGCTGAAGAAGGCGAGGTAGGGAGAGATGTGTCGATGAGGCCGGAGTAGCTTGTGTCACTGCCCGCCCGACAGGCCTCCTGTTTGGTCCCTCCCAAGCTAAGACAGTCGAGCTCACCATAACCCTTTAGATCTGCAGTCGCAGAGTTGGGGTAAGACCGCCCGACAGGCCTCCTGTTTGGTCCCTCCCAAGCTAAGACAGTCGAGCTCACCATAACCCTTTAGATCTGCAGTCGCAGAGTTGGGGTAAGAAAGAAGGGGAAACCTTAGAGCCGTCTGAGTTCTAGAAACTCAACCTTTAGGTCAGTATTTTTAATCACTGCCCTTAGGCGTTAAAGCTGCTTCAAAGAGGGGACTTCTCTAGCGGTCCAGTGGTCAAAACTTCACCTTCCAATGCAGGCTGTACGGGTTTCATCCCTGGTGGGGGAGCGAAGATCCCATATGCCTCGCAGCAAAAAAAACCAAAACATTAAACAGAAGCAATAATGTAACAAATTCAGTGAAGACTTTAAAAAGCCACTGCTAAGGGAATTTCAAATAGCCCCTTGGTTTTCCTAGTGAGGAAATTGGGGTCGATGCCAATCGACATTGAAACGGAGGGCAAGAGCTAGAACCCAGGATTCCTAGTACCCCTTTCACCTCAATATGATTTCTGAGTTATTGCTTAAGCATAACTTTCTCATTGTAGGCTGAGTCGTTAAAGGGAGACTTTGAGGTAGTAATTTAGTCATGGTCTCCTCCTCTTGGGACATTTAACTGCTACCAGTGACCTGGGTACTAATGTCCAAGGGTTTCTGTAGCACCAAACTGCTATCCCAAGTGTTCAGCAGTGTTGCTTCTCTGAGTGTCAGTCAGAAGATCAGAATCTTAGAGCCTTAGGTAGGTTCCATTTCTAAAAATAGAGTCTTGAGGTCTTGGAACTGTAATTCCTGTTTGAATTTCAGTGTGAGCTTATGGGAGAAGACATTGGCTAAATGGAAACTGCCTTTCAGATCATAAAGTTGCATCAAAATATATAAAATTAAGAACTTTAAGAAAAATGTGACAAAATTACTTTAAGAAGGAACTTTAAAAACAGATCTCAAGGACAGAAAGGATTTGAGTAATAATTAGCTTAGCTCGGTAAAGAGCTCACTGTATAAAGAAATGTGCACGTAGAAGATAAAAAATTTTTGATGCTTCTGAAACACTTTTTTAAATGGATCATATACCAGACCACAAAGAAAAGCATAAATTCGTAAAAGTAAAAATCATAACATCATATTTTGTTAGTACAGTGCAATAGAACCTGAAATTAACAACACAGAATTTCTCCCACTCCCTCCAAAAGACTAACACCTGGACATTTTTAACTAATTTTTAAATAGCTTTGGATTAAAGAAATTAACATCAAATCCTATTGGATTTGATCAAAATTTTATTTAAAGAAAAATTCATTGTCTTACATATTTTTACAAACAGAGATACTGAAAATAAGCACCCACCTCAAGAAACCAGAAAAAGAACAAGATAAACCAGAAGAATGTAAAAGCAAGGAGTTAATAGGGATAAAAATAGGTATTAATGAGTTAGTGCTTTAAAAACTGTAAGAAACAATAAAATTAAGACCTTATTTGCAGTGTTTATAGGCACTGATTTGGAGATCTTTAAGCTTTAAGAAAATTTAATGTTCAAGTTTAGACTAAGTAATTTTGAAAATTCAAGATAAATGGCTCATTTTTAAGGATAATCTAAATTATCAATATTGAAGCACAAAAAGGTTAGAAAATTTGTATGTATCAGTAACCAGAGAAGAAGTTGAAAAAGTTGTTAAAAGATTTACTGCCTTCACTCTCACCTACTTCTCATATTCCCATATGAATTTAAATGTGAGTTCCTCTTTAAGGAAAACAGAAGTCAAATCTCATTAATGAGGTTTGTCATATGCTTAGATTCTATGTTAAGTTGGAGGGGATGAAGTTTGGATTTTGAGGTTTTTTTGCTGTCTTTATTAAACATATGTGAGTAAAACAATGTTAAATGTTTATGCAAAGAGGGATAAATAATAAGAGACAAACTTCAAAAAATGTTCAGTCTAGGGAATTCCAATGGTTAGGACTCTACACTCACTGCAAGGGGCCCAGTTTCAATCCCAGGTCGGGAAACTAAGATCCCACAAGCTACACAGCAAGGCTAAAAAAAAGTTCTCAGTCTAGTAATGGGAAATAAATATTTGCATGATACAGTAGAATGGAAAAGAAGAAAAGAGCACTACATGTGGGAGAAGCTCACTTAAAAGTTCCAAATTCAAAGAAACACTGCTTTGATGAGAAGGTGCCCTTTTTAAAATATTCTTTCCACGTGGAATCATCATTGGTAAAGAAATCTATAGGTTTAGACGAAGAAGAGCTGGCTGTATAAAGAGGAGTTTTCTTATATTCCCCTCTAAAGATTGAGGTCAGTGACTTCCCTGGTGGTCCAGTGATTGAAAATCAGGGGATGTGGGTTCCATCCCTGGTTGGGGAAATAAGATCCCACATGTGTGGGAGCAACCAAGCCTGCGTGCCACAACTCCTGAAGCCTGCGTGCCCTGGAGTCCTTGCGCCACAACTAGGGAGTCCGCACCACGTGAAAGATTCCCCAAGCCACAGCTAAGACTCAAGGCAGCCAAATAAATAAAGAATGAGATCAGAAGAGTGGGCTCAAGAAGAGTGTGGTTTTCATGATCCTTGGCATTACTGTGCCCATGTAAACAGATACTGAAAGTAGGATCATAGGTAACCTGGAAAACTGGATTATTTAGCAGCTTTTCTTTCCCCAGCTGGGCTGTAAACTCCTTTAGTAGAGATAGGATATGTTATCTTTGATGGTACAGCCAATGCCTGGAACCAAAAAACTACAGAAATAAGAGAATTTGTTTTGTTGTAATGAGAACGATTTCTTTCTTTACCCAAGTCTGTAAAGTAGGCCATATATATTAAAGGGTTTCTTTTGTCTTCTTAGCTCAAGAGTCAGGACATCTCGGATTTAACAGCAGTTGAAAGGGAAGACTCATTACTTACTCCTGCAGCCAAAAAACTCAAAATAGATACCAAAGAGAAGAAAGAGAAGAAGCAGAAAGTGGATGAAGATGAGATTCAAAAGATGCAGTAAGTCAGTTTTCTGATCTCTCCCTTTTCAAGGCTCTAAACTGACCATGTAGTTAATACATTTTTCTTGGCCTTAAAATTTTTTACTTTTTTAAACTCAAAAGAAACTAAGGTAATTAATATATCAATATTATGTTATTGTATTGAAAATATAAATAAGTAAAAAGAAAAATATCACTTTGAGTTCAGTTCAGTCACTCAGTCATGTCCTACTCTTTGGAACCCCATGGACTGCAGCATGCCAGGCCTCCCTGTCCATTACAAACTCCTGGAGTTTACTCAAACTTAATCCATTGAGTCGGTGATGCCATCAACCATCTCAGCCTCTGTTGTCCCCTTCTCCCGCCTTCAATCTTTCCCAGAATTGGGGTCTTTTCAAATGAGACAGTTCTTTGCATCAGGTGACTAAAGTATTGGAGTTTCAACTTCATCATCAGTCCTTCCAGTGAATATTCAGGACTGATTTCCTTTAGGATGGACTGGTTAGATCTCCTTGAGGTCCAAGGGACTCTCAAGAGTCTTCTCCAACACCACAGTTCAAAAGCATCAATTCTTCGGTGCTCAGCTTTTCTTATAGTCCAACTCTTACATCCATACATGACTACTGGAAAAACCATAGCCTTGACTAGACAGACCTGTGTTGGAAAAATAGTATCTCTGCTTTTTAATATGTTGTCTAGGTTGGTCATAACTTTTCTTCCAAGGAGTGAGTGTCTTTTAATTTCATGGCTGCAGTCACCATCTGCAGTGATTTTGGAGCCCAAGAAAATTAAGTCTTGTTACTGTTTCCATTGTTTCCCCATCTGTTTGCCATCAAGTGATGGGACCAGATGCTATGATCTTAGTTTTCTGAATGTTGAGTTTTAAGCCAACTTTTTCACTCTCCTCTTTCACTTTCATCAAGAGGCTCTTTAGTTCTTCTTCACTTTCTGCCATAAGGGTGGTGTCATCTGCATATCTGAGGTTATTGATGTTTCTCCCGGCAGTCTTGATTTCAGCTTGTGCTTCTTCCAGCCAAGCATTTCTCATGATGTACTCTGCATATAAGTTAAATAAGCAGGGTGATAATAAACAGCCTTGACGTACCTCTTTCCCTATTTGGAACCAGTCTGTTGTTCCATGTCCAGTTCTAACTGTTGCTTCCTGACCTGCATAGAGATTTCTCAAGAGGCAGGTCAGGTGGTCTGGTATTCCCATCTCTTTAAGAATTTTCTACAGTTTATTGTGATCCACATAGTGAAAGGCTTTGGCATAGTCAATAAAGCAGAAATAGATATTTTTCTGGAACTCTCTTGCTTTTTCGATAATCCAACAGATGTTGGCAATTTGGTCTCTGGTTCCTCTGTCTTTTCTAAAACCAGCTTGAACATCTGGAATTTCACAGTTCACGTACCGTTGAAGCCTGGCTTGGAGAATTTTGAGCATCACTTTACTAGCGTGTGAGATGATTGCAGTTGTGTGGTAGTTGGAGCATTCTTTGGCATTGCCTTTCTTAGGGATTGGAATGAAAACTGACCTTTTCCAGTCCTGTGGCCACTGCTGAGTTTTCCAAATTTTCTGGCATATTGAGTGCAGCATCATATTTTAGGATATGAAAATATCACTTTACCACCAGAATAAACAGTTAACATTTTGACATATATTCACCAAAATATTTTCTTTACATATATTTATCTGTAAATAAAATTAATTTCAAAGATGTTAAATACTGTTTAAATACTGTTAATACTGTTAAATACTGTAACCTGTTTTCCATATTATATATGGTGAATGTTTTCCATGTCAACAATTATACATCTAGGTCGCAATTTTCTTCAAAACGTAAATAGCTTCATTATGTTTTCTGATTGTAAAAATAGTATGCTGCTGCTAAGTCGCTTCAGTCATGTGAGTTCACTGCAAATAATTCAGAAAATACAGAAAAATAGAAAAAATAATTACTTAGAATCCCACCACCCAGAGTTTACCCAGGGCATATATTTGTGTATATACCTTTTCAGATACAAGTTTAATGTTTGATATATATACATATTTTCAGGTCAGTAAACATGCCCATAAATTGTTGTTTGTAACAGCCGTGTTGTATTGTTAGGTGGATGAACCATAATATAATCCATCTCTGCCGTTGTTTCGTTTCGTTTTGTTTTCTTGTCAGGTTTTAGTGGCATTTTTTTTTCATTTATTTTTATTAGTTGGAGGCTAATTACTGTTTTGTTTTTCTTTTGACATTATGATCAACATCTTTGAGCATATCTTTGCATACTTGTCTGTATACTTCCTAAAATAAACTCCTGGAAGTGTAATTGGTAGTTTAAACAATACGAACAATTTCAAAGAATTTTCATTTGTATTTTCAGATTCCGCAAAAAGGTGGTTCCTCCTACACTCTATCAGCATGTATGAATTTGTGTCTTCCCATCCTCACTAACACCATGCTTTTTTAATACTTCTTTATCTGTTTTTTGAAAAATGTTTATCATGTGAAATGTAGTGAGGTAGCATTATGGGGAGAGAGAGCCTATTGCTGAAAACATAATCTATATACTGTGATTCAGTAACCCAACATTGTTGTTTTTGTTCTTAGTGAAGTAAGAAAGGAACTTAGGTTTCACCTGTTGTCAAGTAATAGAAATACTTTCTCTTCATTCCTCATAAATACTAAGCCTAATACTATTGGTCCCTTGAAAAATTAATTTTTTAAATGTCTGAGACTTGGTTTTATTGACATAATAATATGTATATCTTAAGTATTCGTTGTTATAAGTGAACTTAATTACCTAAATCTTTGTCTAGAATCCTGGTTTCTTCTTTTTCTGAGGAGCAGCTGAACCGTTATGAAATGTATCGCCGGTCAGCTTTCCCTAAGGCAGCCATTAAAAGGGTAAGGATGGACTATCACACTCATTTCCATGAGCCATGAGAACCGAACAGGGCTCAAGAGCTGTATCCACTGACATTTTGAAGTGAAGTGTTAGGCAAGTTGGCGGAACATTTAGGCAGGAAAATAAAAATACATGCCCCTCAATAATCTGACCAGTTGTAGTTTTATATTCTCGACAAATACACCTGAAACCTTGTTTTACTGGTGTCAATTTCAATATCAAGTCTTTAGTGAACTCTTTTAGTGCGGAGCTCTTATGGGTGTTATATTCCAAAGCCAGTCCTTGACTCCCTTAATCACAGTCTTTTGTCCTTCTTTCAAGCTGATCCAGTCCATCACAGGCACCTCTGTGTCTCAGAATGTTGTTATTGCTATGTCTGGTATTTCGAAAGTTTTCGTCGGGGAGGTGGTAGAAGAAGGTGAGTGGTATTGGTCTTAATATTGGATTGAACCTGTGGTGGTCTTATTTCTGAGAATATATATACTGAGGGACTTATGAGGTCCCTGGAGTAGTTTCCATTTACACTAGAAGTTGGCCAAAGCAAGAGCCTTATATTCAGGAGAGCATTTATTGAAGACATTATTCCTTGAAAGTTTCAATACCAGGTCTGGAAACACCTAGCAAATCTCCCTTCCTGATTCTTATCCTCAGCCCAGGGTGACAGAAGTAGACTGTATTTTTCTCCAATGGACTTTGTTCATTTCTGCTCCCAAAAGTAGAGATAGACGAACAAAGTCATCACTGAGGCTGACCAGTGTGGTCTGGTGAGTAGTTGTCCCTGATGTTATGATCCCCTGGGAACTGCTCCCTGTCTGTCAAGTAATGAACCTGGCTGCTACTCACTGCTAATTTCTAGCTGGTGAAGTCTTTATTCTTTCAAGGAGAAGCTGTGTTTTAAACTGTTGCCTGCGATAAAGTCTGCTGTGGGATATCATGCTAATGCTAAATGATATATTTTATAGCATTCTCTGAAGAAGGGAAATTATCTTGGTTTATTTCTTTAGCACCTTTAAGAGGAATTAATGAGCATTACAGGACTTGAAAGGACTGTGATGAGTAAGCGCTTGTGTGATAACAAAACTCTTCTCCTTGTCCTCTGTTTAGCACTGGATGTGTGTGAGAAGTGGGGAGAAATGCCACCGCTACAACCCAAACACATGAGGGAGGCTGTTCGGAGGTTAAAGTCGAAGGGGCAAATTCCCAACTCAAAGCACAAAAAAATCATCTTCTTCTAGACCAAAGTCTAGCAGGGCCCAGTACTGAAGGAAGAAGTCCAGACTTCCTGTGGCACGAGATTCTCCGCACTGGTGCTTTGGTATCTTAGTCCTCCAAGGATTCCATGATTTTAATGTCTTTCTCAAAACTGATAATTCATTACACCTAGAAGAAGGCATGTACCCTGTTTCATACTTGCCTTGACTAAATATCGGGACCTCTGAGGGCATCTGAGGCATTTAACTGTTACTGGCTAGTTGTAAGAAGAAAGGTTGGTGCACCTTAAGCATCTTCTGGACAGGAATGCTGCTTTCAGAAAGAAAACCTGTTCAAGACGGTTTGACGGTTTCACATTGAAGCCTGAAGTTTATGACTTAGATTGTTTCTTTACATCTGGTTTTAAGTAAATGAAACAACCAGAAACTTGACTTGTGATACTCTACCATGAAGGACACGGTGACAGCAGAGGCAGTGGAACAGTTTGTCCCTGTAAATGTTTAAGATTCTTCTATGAATTTTGGTGAATGATTAATAAAACTGTTTTCCAACTTGCTGTGTGTGTTTTCTTTTTCTGTCTAGCTGGTTGGAATGGGGAGAAGTTTGCTGGTGTCCAAATAAAACTTGTCTTGGCTTTTTTGTGAAAGTTAGAGCCCTCCCCATTCCTACTAGAACCATTAAGATTGTATCTCATAAGAGAATATTTAAAGCACTTAAAAACAATGTAAAAGCCCATGTGTTTCAATTCCTATCAACAGATATACCAGAACCAGTACTGTTTAATAAGTTTAATTTGCTTTTTTCAGGTGGTTCACAGAACCAGTACACTGAAGGTTTGATTAGATATTGCAACATTAAAAGTTCTCAATACTGACCAATATTCCAGTTCATTGGATACATTCTCATTGTTTTCCTCAAGTAGAGGGGAATGGAGTTACTTTATACTGACAGTGATTAGCAGTAATAAGGCTACTGTAATATAATTGGCAATGGGCAATCCCCAAGAGTTCCTTCCTGTCTATTATTCAGTGCCGTAAGGAGAGGGCTTCTGAAGCTTTTCCCTTGTGAAGCTTTCCTGAGCATGTCAGTAAAGATTCCAGTTCTGGTTAGCACCCTGAGTGGGGGAAACAGCTGAGACACACAGTTGGGCAAATCTGGATTTTAGTGTCTAGCATTAAAACTCGTGGCTCTACACATGTACTTAGCTGGTGGAGAAGACGCTTCAGTGGTGCATTCCACAAAGAGACACTGTAAGACTCAGGTTAAATCTTGACCAAAAACTGCAGGGAAAACCAAATAAATAAAAACACATATCTCAGCTCCAGAGGAGGCTTTTTAAGTGGTTATAGGAGCTATACCTATTGCAGTATGAGATACTGGATAAGGCTGAAATTTACAGATAATAAAGTTCACATCCCAAGTATAGCCACTTAGCAAAGCCTCACAGTTTAAGGTTATCTAAGAGTATTTCCCCTTGTATCTGTTGAAAGAGATGGAGATAATAATCCCCATTCAACAACAGCAACTATATGTACCTACCCAGAGCTGAATGGGAATATTCCTACTCTAGCAGGAGGTAGGGGAAGATTCCAGGGAAGGTTATAGTCCCTGAAAGGAGAAGCCATCACAAATCACACTAGAATCTCTTGAAGCACAGTAATGAGTGGTCAATCACAAAGCAGTGACACAGCTCTTGCAGTTCTCAAGTAACCAGATGTCATCTTACTAGCTTGTGTAGCAATGCTGTTTCCATCATTTTGTGGTATTACTATTAACTGTTTTTGAAGTTAAGGTAAATATTATATAAGGGAGGGAAGAAAACAAACAAACCTTAAAGGTTTGGAATGGAAAGTTCCTGTATCGCTATGTTCAAACTACACCTTCTTTCCACTACACCCTAAACTAGCCTATGGGAAAACTGACGTAAGTGGATGAAATGGAAGAATTTCAGTTATGTGGTATGTGAGGGCTGCCTTAAGCCTTGTATATTCCAAACACAGAAACCATTCCTTTCAGAACCATGAAAAAGTGTACATAAAGGTGGAGGCCCGTGGCAAAATGAGGGTCAGATTAAATACACAGCAAAATGCAGCCATCGTTAGACTAGAACCCATTTCTTCTTAGGTCTAATAAACTAGCTTAATGATTCCAGTGACTTAAAAACAGAATTTGAGATTGATAACCACCCCTGCAGCTTCGCTGAGAGATTTAAACCAGTCCATGTACACTAAAGCATATCTCCAGTACCTCCTCGTAAACAGGAAATCTAGACAGTCACAGGTAACACAAGGTGTAAACGCTTCACAGCTGACACGCTGACTGCGCTGGTGGAAGTCTCTTGGATAGTGGTGTTTCACTCCAGACATTTTCTTGAGGTATTATTATTTCGTGTTCACAGTCTTAAAGCTCCAAGGCAGAAATCGTCAGCAGTCCAAAGGAGCTGATACTACTATTTCTTTCCTTCCATCCTTTTCATTTATCCTGAGGACTACCAACAAGATTATATTTCTTCATTATGAAAGTTTTTCTTCCCCCAGTGAATAGGAGTATGAAGTTATACAAGATGACTTTCACTAAAATTCCATGGGATGCTGACCCTCTACCATATTTCCTGAGGGAGGAACTTCAAGACAATGGCCAAAGCTGGTCACATAAGGAAATTCAAATTCTAGGGCTACATTTGTCACATGGACAAGAGCGCCAGAGAGCCCAGAAACCTGAGTGAGCTCTGCTCATTAAGGGGTGAGCCTCTGCGCTTGCCAGATTTGTTTCTCTTGCCTCCTACTAAGCGCATACTTAAAGTATACCAGGCAATTCTCTGCGTGGAGGGATGGGGAGGGCAGGAAAGCAGGGGAAGGGAAGAGGACCAGAGTGTGATTTTAGACCAATGCAGGTGAACGCCGGGTTGGATAATTCTATCTCCTGGCTACTGGCTCTTCCTCTGTCCCCTCTAAGAACATTAGACACACCACACTGGAGAGGACCAGTGATCCTTTTTGTTCATCATTCTGCCTTTGACAGAAGCACTTAAAGGGGAGTCTGTGGAGGGATGCAGTGGGTAACTCCATTGTGTATCACCAAATAACCCTAGTTTCCTACAATTCCTTTTGGGAAGTCATCATGCAAGGATTCCTCTTAAACCTTCTGCACCCATACAGTTTCTTACAGCACCACTTCTTGAACAGAGAGCCCTAGGAGTTTCTGATTTGCTACAAGAAGTGCTTGTAGGTGCTAAGGCTGCAAGGGCCAGCCCTAGTATTTTTGGGACCCGAAGCACATGTCCTGGATCTTGACTGAATACCTGACCTAACACTACCCTCCGCTTTCATCCTTTTCAGAACTGGAGCTCACATTTTAAAGATGTATACCTCCACCCCTGATGATTTTTGCTGTTCTCTAGACCTTTTCTCCTTTTACCACATACTTTGTAAGTAAGGTCCCTAGAAGTGCACAGATCACTTAAGGCGTTACCTCGGTCTTTCATGAGATGCTATGTTCTGTGTTGGCTCCACACGCCCTGCAGCACTCTGATCCCTCTTCCCTCATGGCAGTGCTTAGATTTCTTTCCTGAGCTCTTTCCAGAGCTCACTGTCTCAGTGGTTGCTGATTCTCCTGTTAGGGCACTGTTTCACACTAACCTACAGAGAATCTCACCTGACACTCTCCTGAGTATTCACAGCCCAGTCTGTGAATCTTCTGCAAATTTTTTTAAATCTCCTCTGGTTTATCTTCACTGCCTGGAAGTAGTGACATTTGACTGCATTGTAATATCCTACTTTCAGGTTATTTATAAAATTCTTAAATAAGGTTAAACCAAGCATCAACTGACAGGGAACTTACCCTGTTAACATTCTCTCAGAAAGATGTTTATTCTTAAGTCTCTCAGTTGTTTCCTAAGCATGAGAGGATATTCCCATAAACTCATAGTAATTGCTGTTTTTAAAATTGTCTTAGTGGAAAATCACAACAAAAAGTCTTTAAAAGTCTGAGCAAATTAGATCTTGTTCCTTCTTGAATGTATATTTCTTTTTATCATCAAAAAACTAGAATGTACAAGTCAGGCATGATTCCCCATAAAGGAAACCATTTTATCTTTCCTCTAGTAGGTCATGTATGATTAAGACTTTAGTGACACTACTAAATCATCATTTTACCATCTCGCCAATTCAAGGTGAGTTTGCTGATGAACTTCTGTCCAATCAACAGAGCTTGAAGCACAGCACAGAGCAGTATGGATGAAGATAAGAGTGTTGGGGAGGAATTAAGTAGGAAAGAAATAGGGGGAAATAACTTTCAGCAGTCAGGGCAAAACCTAGCTAGGTTGAAGGGTTTTTTTTTTTTTTTTTACTTAAAAGTCAAAATAACATGATTTTAAAAAGCCACAGTGATAGAGGCAGGTGAGAGGCAACTAGCTGAGATGTTTATGTTACCGTATAAAACACATTTTCAGTTCCGACACCACCAAGGGCTAAGGAGATTGCTGGTAGGAAGTCATAGTGCTGGGAACGCTGATGTGCCAGGGACCCCAGGGAGACAGGAAAAAACCTGTGAGGGGCAGCTGTGGAAGAGAGACAGGACACGGCTGGCAATAGTGGGTTCAAAAGGAACCAAGCTCTCCTATGATCCCCACCAAGCCATGACCTCAACCTAGCCCAGAGTGAACCGTTTCTTGATTTAAATTTCAAACAAACTGCGTTACAGACGGGAGAGATGATACAAGTGAGCTGCTACTGTTGTTTACTTCCTACCACAGCATCACAACAATGACAGGCATGACAGAGAGGAAGCTTAACCCTGAACAATCTGATTGTAACATCAGCCAAGATGACAGGAGCTTAGTTTCCTTCCCAAACAAGGCAGAATCCATGTCTCACTTATTTCTGTGCCTCCCCTGGCTCCCGCCTTGCTGGCTACTTCCTGTTCCATTCTACCGCCGCGACACTTCTCAGGTCCACTACAGAAATCAAACTCTGAGACACAGAACCTTTGGTGACTCTGTGGGTGACTGACCGAGGAGATGGGGACTCTGCCCTGTTCACACAGGTTGTGGAGCAAGCAAAGGTCTCTGCCATGAAACCAGGCGGTGAAATGACCCTACAGTGTTGAGAAGATTCCACCTAGTGTGCTGAGGGCCAAGAGGACAGGCGAGACGTGATGCCTGAGCCACACACAAAGTGGCCCGGAACGTGGGCATGCTTTGCCCCATCTTCCATCCAAGTCAGGACCGCTAGTAGAAAGGACGCCGCCAGGAGCGAGCTGCGCGCCCCGGCCGGCTTGTCCAGCACTGGGCGAGTCTGTCACAGGTGGTGCGGCTGCTGGTGATCCTCTCTCCTCGGCAAAGACGGCTAAGCCACTGCTGTCAGAGCTCGAAGAGGGGGTTATATTTCCTAATCTCTTCGAGAAGTTTTTCTTTATCCTGGTTGGCTTGAGCCAATGCTTGTTTAGTTTCTATAAGTTCCTTTTGTAGGGTAGGTAGTTCATTCACCTGAGGAACAACAAAGAATTCATGATGAATCAATAAGGTAACACACCTTGCAAAAACATCCAGTAAGGGAACAAGGAGGGAGAATTTAAGCGGCACAATCCGCAAGTTTGGTCAATGACCAAGAGAACCAGCAAGGTCTTTTCTCAGAGGCTAATCCCCTCTTCAGAGCTCATCAGCTGCAGGGACAACAGCAGGTGGAAGATGTCATCAGCTGGCATTCATCTCTAGCTCCTGACTTCCAGCCTCGGTTCAGCACTTCCAGGAGCTGCTGCTAAATGTCAAGAGCCCAGACCGCCCAGCTGTACCAGCACAAGCAACTTTGTCAGCCCTCTGGGTTTTGCCTACTTCTGTGATTACAGCCCCGAAGGGTTTACAGGAGAGGTACTGTTCAGTTAGGGCCTCACCTGTGGACCAAAAGCCTCCCCACTGGGCACCAAAAACACCTGTTCTTTGGGGGGCTGCTGCTTCTCACTCTTAGATGCTTTGGCTGATGGTCTGTCTTGAGCAGCAGCTGAAAAAAAGTAAAGGATCTGAATGAAAAACTGCCAGCAACACGTGGACTGTTCCTAGTTGTCACCATTTCCTTACAGGAGCAAAAAGGTAGAGAAGCCAGGAGGCTGACGAGCCCAACTCACCGCCTATGTGGAAGACACCATCGTCACTCCGACTCAGCACGGTGTGCTCCACAGACAGAGTGATGGGGATGGGGCCTGGCGAGGTTGGGTAGATGGGGGGGATATCATCCTGCAGGAAAGACAAAAGCTGCGTGAGGCCCCCAACCAACTCAGAGCAGCTTAGGTAACAAGCCATGCTTCCAACCGTGGAGCTGGAAGCACTTGGCCATCACTGTTTATCCATACACTCTAGCGAGGCATGAGAGGCATAGTGAGTCTCTCCCATCCTAGACACAGTGAGACTGACGATCTGCTAACCTGTGGGCTTGCACAGTCATGCTGCATGCCAAAGGCCAGGGCTAGAGACAAGGCCCCCCTCACTTAAACCTAGAACTTTCTGCTGGCACTACATACTTGGGTACTACTGTAGTACTGAACGCTAACACGCCTTTCCTCACTTGGTCCTCCCCACAAATTTCACAGGGACATGAGAAGAAGTTAACAGCTCTCACTGTTAACAGGGTCAAGGGTCAAGAATCCCTTGCTTGACCAAGTCTAGAGTAAACCCCAAAGTTCTTTTCTTCTCACCTTTAGGGTGACCCTGGAGTTCAGGAGCTCAATCTGCATGGGAACCACCACTGGGATCTCCTCATCCTCCAAGAAGGGCCCCAGACCACTGAGCACCGAAGTGAGCAGCTCAAGGTCACAGCCCTGAAGCAACAAATGCAGGAAGCCATTCTGTGTGGCCAGAGGGGAATGAACAGCTGCACCAGGCCCCACCTCAAAGCGAAGGCCCACAGCTGGCCTGATGTGGCCAGTCTTCAAAGTGGAGGAGTCCTGAAAGTTTGTGCCTTTGCGAAGCAAGACAGAAGGAAAAGATATTAATTATCAGCCAGTGATTGCTCTAAGCACTTTAATATATAGTTAATATTCATAACCATTGTGATTATCTGGGTTGTGAAGATCTTTTTTGTAAAGTTCTGTGTATTCTTGCCACCTCTTCTTAATATCTCCTGCTTCTGTTAGGTCCATACCATTTCTGTCCTTTATTGAGTCCATCTTTGCATGAAATGTTCCCTTGATATTACTATTTTCTTTAAGAGATTTCTAGTCTTTCCCATTCTTTTGTTTTCCTCTATTTCTTTTCACTGATCACTGAGGAAGGCCTTCTTATCTCTCCTTGCTATTCTTTGGAACTCTGCATTTCAGATGGGTATATCCTTCCTTTTCTCCTTTGCTTTTTGCTTCTCTTCTTTTCACAACTATTTGTAAGGCCTCCTCAGACAGCCATTTTGCTTTTTTGCATTTCTTTTTCTTGGGGATGGCCTTGCTCCCTGTCTCCTGTACAATGTCACGAACCTCCATCCATAGTTCATCAGGCACTCTGTCTATTAGATCTAGTCCCTTAAACCTATTTCTCACTTCCACCGTATAATCGTTAGGGATTTGATTTAGGTCATACTTGAATGGTCTAGTGATTTTCCCTACTTACTTCAAGTCTGAATTTGGCAATAATTGAGTTCATGATCTGAGCCACAGTCAGCTCCCAGTCTTGTTTTTGCTGACTGTATAGAAGCTTCTACATCTTTGGCTGCAAAGAATATACTCAATCTGATTTTGGTGTTGGCCATCTGGTGATGTCCATATGTAGTGTCTTCTCTTGTGTTGTTGGATGAGGGTGTTTGCTATGACCAGTGTGTTCTCTTGGCATAACTCTATTAGCCTTTGTCCTGCTTTATTCTGTACTCCAAGGCCAAATTTGCCTGTTACTCCAGGTGTTTCTTGACTTCCTACTTTTGCATTCCAGTCCCCTATAATGAAAAGGACATCTTTTTTCATGATGGTGTGATCACTCACCTAGAGCCAGAATCCTAGAATGTCAAGTTAAATAGGCCTTAGGAAGCATCACTATGAACAAAGCTAGTGGAGGTGATGGAATTCCAGTTGAGCTATTTCAAATCCTAAAAGATGATGCTGTGAAACTGCTGCACTCAACATGCCAGCAAATTTGGAAAACTCAGCAGTGGCCACAGGACTGGAAAAGGCCAGTTTTCATTCCAATCCCTAAGAAAGGCAATGCCAAAAAATGCTCAAACTACCACACAATTGCACTCATTGCACACACTAGTAAAGTAATGCTCGAAGTTCTCCAAGCCAGACTTCAGCAATACGTGAACCGCAAAATTCCAGGTGTTCAAGCTGGTTTTAGAAAAGGCAGAGGAACCAGAGACCAAATTGCCAACATCCACTGGATCATCGAAAAAGCAAGGGAGTTCCAGAAAACCATCTATTTCTGCTTTATTGACTATGCCAAAGCCTTTCAGTGTGTGGATCACAATAAACTGTAGAAAATTTTTAAAGAGATGGGAATACCAGACCACCTGACCTGCCTCTTGAGAAATCTGTCTGCAGGTCAAGAAGCAACAGTTAGAACTGGACATGGAACAACAGACTGGTTCCAAATAGGAAAAGGAGTATGTTAAGGCTGTATATTGTCACCTTGCTTATTTAACTTATATGCAGAGTACATCATGAGAAACACTTGGCTGGAAGAAGCACAAGCTGGCATCAAGATTGCCGGGAGAAATATCAAAACCTCAGATATGCAGATGATACCACCCTTATGGCAGAGAGTGAAGAAGAACTAAAGAGCCTCTTGAAAGTGAAAGAGGAGTGAAAAAGTTGGCTTAAAGCTCAACATTGCAAACAAAGATCATGGCATCTCGTCCCATCACTTGATGGCAAATAGATGGGGAAACAGTTGAAACAGTGGCAGACTTTAGTTTTTGGGGCTCCAAAATCACTGCAGATGGTGACTGCAGCCATGAAATTAAAAGACGCTTACTCCTTGGGAGAAAAGTTATGACCAACCTAGACAACATATTAAAAGGTAGAGACATTACTCTGCCAACAAAGTCCGTCTAGTCAAGGCTATGGTTTTTCCAGTAGTCATTTATGGATGTAGAGTTGGACTATAAGGAAAACTGAGCACCAAAGAATTGATGTTTTTGAACTATGGTGTTGGAGAAGACTCTTAAGAGTCCCTTAGACTGCAAGGAGATCCAACCAGTCCATCCTAAAGGAGATCAGTCCTGAATATTCACTGGAAGGACTGATGCTGAAGCTGAAACGCCAATACTTTGGCCACCTGATGCAAAGAACTGTCTCATTTGAAAAGACCCTGATTCTGGGAAAGATTGAAGGCGGGAGGAGAAGAGGATAACAGAGGTTGAGATGGTTGGATGGTGTCACCGACTCAATAGACTGAGTTTGAGTAAACTCCAGGAGTTGGTGATGGACAGGGAGGCCTGGTGTGCTGCAATCCTTGGGGTCGCAAGGAGTTGGACATGACTGAGCGACTGAACTGAACTGAATATTCATAACAACCCTGTACCAGAAGTATTATTATCTTCCCATTCTACAGATGAAAGAACTAAGGCACAGAGAGTAACTTGCCAAAGTAACAAAACTTGTGGACTTCCCTGGCGGTCCAGTGGTTCAGAGTCTGCCTGCCAAGGAAGGGGACACGGGTTCAATCCCTGTCCTGGGAAGATTCCACATGCCACAGGGCAGCAAGGTCCTTGCACCACAACTACTGGAGCCCATGTTCTAGAGCCTATGCTCTGCAACAACAGAAGCCACTGCAGTAAGAAGCCCACACACTGCAACTAGACAGTACTCCCCACTCACTGCAACTAGAGAAAGCCCACATGCAGCAATGAAGACCCAGTGTAACCAAAAATAAATAAATAATTTTTTTAAAAACCAACAAAGTAACACAGTTTGCAAGTAGCAAGGTAGGAGCTGCATGCAAGCTGCCTGACTGCAAAGACCATGGGCTTGGCCACTGTGCTCTAATGCCTCTCATGGTGGAAGGGACAGTAAGGACCAATTAAAAAGCTCGTCTTCCTTAGAATCAGAGGCAGTGGGCTAACGGCCAAGGTGAAGCTAAAACAGAGGACCCTGGGGAGTTCCCTGGAGGTCTAGTAGTTAGGTCTCGACTCTTTCACTGCTAGAACCCAGGTTCATCTCCTGGTTAAGGAATTGAGATCTTACAAGCCCTACGGTACAGTCAAAAACAAATAAACAAACAGTAGACCCTCAACTCTGCTAAATTTGATCATCTCTTCCTTTCTCCAAGTCTTGGTCCTCTCATCTTTCTCTCAGGAAGCCAAGCAGGATCTATGCTAATTTACTCGAAACTGCATGAAGAATAACCTCAGGTGCAGCCAAAGCTATGAAACAACTTACAAACCTATAAAACTGTAAAGTGGTACAACTATTCTGGGGAAAAAAATGGGCATTATCTAGCAAAATTAAAGCTATACCTACCCTAATGATCTAGCAATTATTTCCTCAGTAATATAAACCTGGAGAAACTCTCCAACATACATAACAGGAGAAATATACAAGGATGGGCATGTGAAAACAATCCTATTTGAAACAGCAAAAAAAACCTGGAAACAAACCACATGTCTGTTCAGAACAGAATGAAGAAGTAAACAGAGTAAAGAGTACAAGAGAGATTTTGGGGGTGATGGTGATGGTTGCAGAACTCTGTAAGCTTACTAATATTTATGAAAGTACACACAAAGAGTGAATTTCATAGTATGCATATTATACCTCGTTAAAGCAGTTTTTTAAAGTCATACATTTCTACAATAGAATATTATTAAGTAGTGAAAGTGAATGAATTATAGCTAACTCAACAACCTAGAAGGATTTGAAGAATATCATAGTACTTGAAAGGAGAAAATCACAAAAGAATATAAATGATAATTCCACTTAGAAAAACTTGAAAGCCTGCACAGCTAAATAATACACTGATAAAAAAAAAACATGTGGAAGAACTGTAAAGCAAGAAAATGAAAAATACAAATTCAGGATAGTGATCCCCTATAATAGGTGAGAGGCAAGAGGAAGGTGCTGGAGAGGGGCTCCTGGGGCTCAAACTTAATGGTACTATTCTATTTATTAAACTAGGTAGTGGGTACATACATTCATTGTATTATGATTATTTTAGACCTTATATATATATTTTGACAAGCATTCTACTTTACAAGCATATCTACTCGATATTTTAAAATATAATTTTTAAAAAACGAAGCATGTAGTTTAAGTCCAGATATTTTCTGCCATCTTTTAAAGTATAAATGATAATTTACATCAAAGGACTGAATCAGAAGATCCCTGATCAGATACAGCTTGATGTTAGGAGCCCCACAAAGAAGTGGACACTGTCCTCTCATATGAGGGTAAGGAGCACCTGAGAGGTGAGGATGGAGACTAGCCTACTGAGTACAAAGCCTCAGTGAGAGCTCTGGGAGGCTCCTTGTGAGAAGGAGGCTTCATTAGGCTTCTTCCTCCCTCTAACGGCTGCTGGAGAAAAGCACCAAGGACGTGGCACTAGGCTGGCTGCCCCTGGAGCACAGGACAGTCTGACTGTTCTCCTCCCCACCCCAGCGCAAATCCTACCAGCTCTCCCGGGATCTCACCATCCTCACCTGGGCACTGTCCATGCAGGAACTGCCAGAGTCCCATAGTGCCCGGCTGCTGGAGAGTCAGCTTCTCTGCTTGCAGGGCCACAGTCAGGTCCTCACCACGTACCTCAATCCCCAGAGACACCTCATTCACCTTCAGGACCAGAACTGAGACCTGTAACGGGAGATTCGCTTAGCTGAGTCCCAAGCTGCCAGCTGAGAGCCCACCCTCTGCAGAGAAGAGAGCAGAAGAACTGACCTGGTGGAGACTGAGGGCTTCCCCACTGGGGGAGACTGAACTGGTGGCCTCCGGTGACCCCTGGCCGTAACTGTCCACAGCAGGGCTCCCCTGAACACCAGCGCTGTCCACAGCATTGGGAAGAGGTCCCGGTGGAAGAGATTCTGGACCAGACTCTGCAAAAGAAAGATAACAAGAGCTGGAGAGTCAAAAATTCTACTCAAATCCAATCCCTAGTGACAACTGTAAAAATGAAACATTTATGACATTCATGAGAAAACTGGAAATTTCAAGACTAACTGGATATTTAATGAATTTAGGGGATTATTGTTCATTTTTTTAAAGTGTGACAATGGTATTTGGTCATGTTGGAAAAAGTCTGTAAATGGAAGCAACCCAAGTGTCTATGGACTGAAGAACGGTTTAAAAAAATGTGGTACAAATGAAAAATAAATACTAGCCTTAAAAAGGAAGGAAATTCTGACACATGCTACATACAATATAAATGAACCACAGGGACATCATGTTAAACGAAATAAGCCAGTCATGTACCTAAAGTGGTCAAATTCATACAGACAGAAAGTAGAATGGTGGTTGCTAGGGTCTGGTGGAAAAGGGAATGAGAACTTATTGTTTAATGGGTACAGACTTCCAGTTTTGCAAGATATAAAGGTTCTAGAGATAGACAGTGGGTGATGGTTGTACAATAATCTGAAGGTACTTAATGCCACTAAATTATAGTTAAAAATAGTTATGATGGTAAAGTTTATGTTATGTACATTTTACCATAATTTTAAAAACTTTTAATTTGGTTAAAAATCTGTATTTTCTAGAGATGTGTAATGAAAATATTTATATATTTATGGATAAAATGATATGGTTGGGATTTGCTTCAAAGTAATATGGGAAGAAGGGAAGACGGCAGAAGAATAAATGAAATAAGAATTGCCATGACATCTGGTCCCATCACTTCATGGCAAATAGATGAGGAAACAGTGGAAACTGTGGCAGACTTTGCTTTTTTGGGCTCAAAAATCACTGCAGATGGTGACTGCAGCTGTGAAATTAAAAGATGCTTACTCCTTGGAAGGAAAGTTGTGACCAACCTAGACAGCATATTAAAAAGCAGAGACATTACTCTGCCAACAAAGGTCCATCTAGTCAAAGCTATGGTTTTTCCAGTAGTCATGTATGGATGTGAGAGTTATAAAGAAAGCCGAATGCCAAAGAATTGATGCTTTTGAACTGTGGTGTTGGAGAAGACTCTTGAGAGTCCCTTGGACTGCAAGGAGATCCAACCAGTCCATCCTAAAGGAGATCAGTCCTGGGTGTTCATTGGAAGGACTGATGCTGAAGCTGAAACTCCAAAACTTGGTCACCTGATGCGAAGAACTGACTCATTTGAAAAGACCCTGATGCTGGGAAAGATTGAAGGTGGGAGGAGAAGGGGATGACAGAGGATGAGAAGGCTGGATAGCATCATGATGTAATGGACATGAGTTTAAGCAAGCTCCAGGAGTTGTTGATGGACAGGCAGGCCTGGCGTGCTGCAGTTCATGGGGTCGCAAAGAGTCAGACATGACTGAGTGATTGGACTGGATTGATATTCTCTTTTTATTTTATTTTCATTTAGATACTCTTAAGTGACAATTTTAGGCTCCCCTGGTTGCTCAGTGGTAAAGAATCCACCTGCAATGCAGGAGCCACAAGAGACGCGAGTTCGATCCTTGAGTAGGGAAGATCCCCTGGAGGAGGGCATGGCAACCCACTCCAGTATTCTTGCCTAGAGAATCCCATGGACAGAGAGCCTGGCAGGCTACAGTCCATAGGGTTGCAAAGAGTCGGACACAACTGAAGCAACTTAGCATGCACACAAGGGACAGTTTTAAAAGTTTTCATTTCAATAAGCTGAAAGAACTAGTTTAACTCCTATGGGGTTTAATCTAACTCCTGAAAGTTACTCATTTTACTATAGACAAAAAGCTTCTAGTTATTTTCCAACAATGAAATACATAGTTAAGCAAAAGATAGGCAACACACACACATACACCGTTGCTAGAGCCACATAATTAACCCTACTGCCATCTCTCCATGGCTGTAAGACTAGCGCTCTCTTCTTTGAGTGTTGTTCTGTGATAAGGGTCAAGTACCTATCCATAACCTAGAAAATGTGAGGATAAATTCAGAGTCACAAATCCACTAAAATTTCACTCTTCTTTGATTTTGATTAAGAAAATATCTGCTTTATCAAAGCTCAGCTCATTCTGCATCCTGCCGGTCACACTACAGGCATCAGAAGAACCCTCTTGAGGCTCTGCAACTCTGCCTGGCTCTGCTTCCACCTACCAGACTCCAAGAGCATCACAAAGCTCTCACTGCCATCACTGTCCACCGAAATCCGGTCTTCAGGGCCGCTGTTATCCAACGAGACGCCATCAAATGACTGCTGGGATACTGTCCTCTTCATGGAGAAAAATCGGAGTCGGGCAGCACCTCCACTTACAGGGGCTGCCACCCCTTCATCTACCTTGGCCACAGGCTCCCTGTATGAAAAACAAAAACAGAAACCACGAATGTGGCTTAGGAGGCACGTTGTTTCATTCCCTTGCAATACCCATCCTTTTCAGCCCAGACAGTTATTGTAAGCATAAACTTTGATGTCAACTACTACCTTATGTAGAAGGGGGGTCACACCATTTTTCAACTGCTGGGCCTTTCTGAACCCTCCTATTCCAGCATTTCAAACTGCACAGGCAGTTCTCCCATGTCAAATGTCAGGGTTATTCAGGATTATCCTATGTATAGCAGAGACCTACTACCTACAGCCTTGGTGTTTATGAGTTGTACCCAAAGCCAATCCTCAAGCATTTACTGAATAACTTCTGCATATAAAGCACCATACAAGACACAGGGCAGTGGTGGGCAGTGATGAATAAGACATCCCCTGTCCTCAAAGAAAGTGTATTCTATCAGGAGAGGGGACTAAACACAAGTAACATTCAATGGTAGTAAGTCACACACTGTAAGAGGGACAGGGGTACAAGCCAAAGGCTAGACAACACCAAAAAAGGGAAAGGATAAAGAGAAGGGCATCAAGAATGGCTCTGAGGAAAGACATGATGTGTGAGGTGGTCCTTGAAGGACTGTGAAGCAGGCAGCACAGAGGCCCTTCCATGGGGAAGAAACAGCCAGAACAAAGCTGTGGAACCAGAAAACAAAATGTACCTTGGAGCCTAGCAAGCAGCTCAGCTCAGCTGGAGCACAGGCTTTGCTGGGGGAGAGCAACAGAAGATAAAGTTAAAAGGCTTCTTTAAAGAAACTTGTAGAGACCTTTTGAGTACACCCTCCTGTGTTATAGGTGAAGAAACTGACTCAGTTTCAGCTAAAAGAATTAGGAAGAACCTAAGTCTCCTAACTTCTTGCTAAGTGCTTTTTTCACTTAACCACATGAGTTGCAGCCAGATCATAGGAAACCCTGGAGAAAAGACAATGCATGAAAGTGCTCTGAAAACTGTGACGTGTTGGAGGCAGATGAGAAATCTCAGTACTGCCCACTCAATATTGCTATGATGCTAAAACTGCTCTAGAAAACAATCTATTTTTAAAAAAAACAAAACAATAATGTGCCATATGAATATGTCAAAATAATTGATAATGCCACACTAAGAAGGTCAAACTCAACTCAGAATAAAGAAAAAGCCAGAAAGGTTTAGAATAGGGAAATAATAGGATTATACCTGTGTTTTAGGAAGTCTGACCTGCCTTTTTCAAATAAGCTAGAGACAGAAAGACATCCAACAAGGAAATCAACTAATAGTTTACTAAAATACTCCACCTGTGGGAACAGACAGGAAAAACTGATGTGAGACTCCCTAGAGCCCTATACTCAGTGTCGCCCTCATAGGAGCATTAGGGGAATTCATTAAAAAGTAACTTCTCAGGCTTCATCTCAGACCTCCTAGAAGAGGAACTCTGGGGGTAGGGCTCAGCACTCTGTTTTAACAAGCCTCCAGATGATTCTGAAGTATGCTTAAGTTTAAAAGTATGGTCAGAACCTGACAAATGCCTGGAAGAGGCAGAGCTTGAATGAGCAGGAGAATGAGGAAAGAAAAAAGAGCTGGTCTGGGATAAGGAATTTAGTTTTACACTTGTGAGGTTTAAGGCACCCCTGGAGACCCATGTGCAACTCTGTGCAGTAGCTAGTTTTAAAGGAGCAGCAGGGGAGGGAAGGAAGTCAGGCCTGAAAGCAAGGGCTCCTGCAGAAGTGAGGCAATGGACAAAATAACCCAGAGAAAAAGTGCGGCTGGCCCTTGAACAACACAGGTTTGAACTGCACAGGTCCACTTATATGTATTCTTTTCTCAGTAGTACATAATATAGTACTACAGGGCTTCCCAGCTGGCTCAGTGGTAAAGAATCCACCTGCAATGCAGGAGACGCAGGTTCAATCCCTGAGTCAGGAAGATCCCCTGGAGAAGGAAATCGCAACCCACTCCAGTATACTTGCCTGGGAAATCCCATGGACAAAGGAGCCTGGAGGGCTATCGTCCATGGGGTCACAAAGAGTTGGGCATGATTTAGCGACTGAACATGCACACATAGTAATACATGATCTACAGCTAGTTGAATCCATGGATGTGTTGAAACCACAGATATGCCGGAATCATTTTATAGGTAAGGCCAACTATAAGTTACATGCAGATTTTCAACTGCACAGAGATTCAGTGCCCCTAACTCCCATATTGTTCAAGAGTTAACAAAATGTATTCAAAAATGCAGAATGATCTAAATCTGAAAGTTTGGCAAATTCATCAAGAACCTTAAAATGTTTGTAGTGTGTGACCCAATAATTCCACTTCCTAGGTTTTATTCTAAAGATTTAGATATGAATAAAGAGTCATGTTCACAAAAATAAGAATATTTAACACAGCATTGGTTTCACCTGAGAAAAAAGTAGAACCAGACTACATGACCCCCCCAGTCTAGATTGTGAATTGGATGAATAAATTATGATACATCTACTTGTAAGAATATAATAGAGCAATTCGCCAAAGAATTGATGCTTTTGAACTACGGTGTTGGAGAAGACTCTTGAGAGTCCCTTGGACTGCAAGGAGATCAAATCAGTCCATCCTGAAGGAGATCATTCCTGAATATTCATGGGAAGGACTAATGTTGAAGCTGAAGCTCCAATACTTTGGTCACCTGATGAGACCTGACTCACTGGAAAAGACCCTGATTCTGGGAAAGACTGAAGCTGGGAGAAGGGGGTGACAGAGGATGAGATGGTTGGATAGCATCACCAACTCGATGGACATGAGTTTGAGCAAGCTCCAGGAGTTGGTGAAGGCCAGAGAAGCCTGGCGTGCTGCAGTCCATGGGGTCACAAAGAGTCGGACACAAGTGAGCAACTGAACAACAACAAAAATAGAGCAATTAAAAATTACATATTCAAATACTTCATGAATGGGAATCTATTCATAATTAAACAAAGTGAATAAAACTGGAAATTTTCTGTATTCTATAGAAATAACATAATCCTATTTTTAAAAATGTGTGTACTTCATATGTGTAAACACGTACAAGCATTCACATGGATACACAAATATATGTATAAAATCTGGAAGATCCAAAAGTCAATAAGGGCTATCTCTGGATAGTGTCGGGCTTTCCAGGTGGTGCCAATGGTAAAGAACCTGCCTGCCAATGCAGAAGGCATAAGAGACATGGGTTCAGTCCCTGGGTTGGGAAGATCCCCTGAAGGAGGGCATGCTAACCCACTCCAGTATTCTTGCCTGGAAAATTCCACGGACAGAGGAGCCTGGCAGGTTGCAATTCAGTGGGTCGCAAAGAGTCAGACACGGCTGCAGCAACTGAGCATGCCACGCATGCACAGGATAGTGTCATTACAGTGACTTTTATGTTTTCTTCTTTATTATTTTCTACATTGTCGACAAAATGAACACAAACTATTTTGATAATTTTTAGGTGGGGTGGGTGCCATGCCACGTGGCATGCAGGATCTTAGTTCCCCAGCCACAGACTGAACCCAGGCCCTTTATGGTGGAAACAGGGAGTCTTAATCACTGAACTGCCAGGGAAGACCCCATTTTTATAATTAAAAAAATAAAATGATGATAAAAGTGATCAGAATATGGATAGCCTAGTGCTGTGAAACAGTTACATTTATAGGATGAAAGGAAGAGAGCAGCCAAGGAAAAAGATGACTACTTCAGAGAAGTGTGAGTGACTGCGCAGTTACAAATGCTCCGGACGGGCGGACTGGCAGGGCTGACTGCGCAGGGGGCCCTGGAGAAAGGGGCCTGAGAAAAGGCCACCGGCCTGGGCGGGGGGAGCGATGCTGGTGTCTGAACAAGCTTGTGTTACACACACCTTTCTTTTCTCCTTTCACCTCTCCTCTGTTCCCAACCCTCACGCATCTCCATTTGGAAAAGGCAGCACATTTGGTGACTGGGATTTCAGGCTCTCAATCCTCACCCTAACACTCACAAGCAGTATGACCTTGAGCAAGTTTCTTACCTCTCTGAGCCTCAGTTTCCTCATCTGTAAAATGGGGAGTGATATTAGTTCCTTCCTTATAGGGTTCTTATAATAATTCATTGGGTTAATATTGTAATATTTAGGACAGATTCTGACACATACAAAGCAGTCAATAAATGTTGCCTAGTATTATTATATAATTTATCTTTTAAGCTTTCCTTTTCTTTCCTCCTAGGCTACCTTGGCCAAGCAGGTAGTAGCACACTTGCAGGCTTTGCTTTGAGACAGATTTAAGAAAATCCTCTTAAACAAAAGCTCTAAATCCATTGATCTTCTCAGCAAAGATTTTCCATAGTTCTCATTATCTTTTCTGAACGCACAGACACTCATGGAAAAAAATCTATACCTTCCCTCCCTTCTGATTGCACTTTTCTGTGTTTTCTGCTTACTCCCTACTATAGCCCCAATGCCTAACACAGGGCCTCGTGCAGAGTACGGGGTCAGAAAATATTTGTTACATGAATGGATGAAATCCTCCCTTCTTTATTACCCTGGCAGACATTGATAGGTGTACCAGAAAGAGCAAATCCAAAGCTCCCGCTTTTCAATGTATAAAAGACAGGATCCATGGGCTCTGGTCTCTGAAGCCTCCATTTCCTCAGCTATGAATTGGGCTACAAACATCTGCAGTGAACTCCTCAGGCTGTTGTGGGATTACGTCAAACAAAACATTACACGAGGGCCCACAGAAAATAATAAAATATCATACTGGCATTATTATTCTGATACAGCATATCTGTATCAATAATAGGGAATCAGTGAAAGAGATAACTTGATGCTATGAAGCAATAAATGCTGACTTGAAAATTGCCAAGACCAGACTAAGATACATGGAGGCATGTGAAAATTCATGGGATTGTTATTTTACTATAATTCTGGGTTCTCCCCCATCACAGGATTAGATGTAGTCCTGAAAATAAAATCTCTGACTGAAATACCTATTATCCTCTAAATACCTGAAAGTTCTTCTGCTGCTCTCCAGACAACTCTGAAAACTAGAGCCTTTGCCACATTAACTAGCCCGTTTTACACACACTCCTGGGCTACAAGCACTTCCCAGTCTACACGTGTGTGTGGCAGGAGGCCTGAGCCCCATGGCCAGAGCTCGAAGGAAAAGATGAGGCGACTGAGGGAGGCAGAGAACCACTCACTTGGCCGGCGGCAGAGACAGCATCTTGTGCATGGTGGTGGTCATTCGGTCTCTGCCCAGACTGAAGGCATCCTTGGTCAGGGACATAGCTTCCTTGGTGAGGTCCATGGTGGCATGCAGTGCCTCCTTGGTGGCATCCTTGGTCATGTGAATAGCACTAGATAATTCTCCCTCTATATTCTTCAAGGGGATGAGCTCGCCCTGACCATTCACAGCAGAATCCCTGCTCCCTGAGGGCTTCAACTCAGCTGGTGAGTCAGATGCTTGGGCTCTGCTCAGTCTCTTGGCTTGTAAGGAATCAACTGCCTCGTGGCCCTTCCCTGCCTCCTGCTGGGCAAGAGACCCTGCATCCTGTACTTCTCCATTGCTGTGGAGAGGCAGTGGTCTGTCCTGGGATGCATCCAGATGTTCAATGCCACCGTCTTCCAGAACCTTCTTGGGGCTTGCTGGGCCCTGTTCTGAGGAGGCGTCAGACTTCAGCTCCCGGTCCTCTGAAGCAGACAGCTCTGAATCTATGAGGCTGGTAGTATCTGAACCCTCAGAGTCAGCCTCATCAGCCCCAGGGGGAGGATGCATGAGCAGAGCCACCTCCGCGCTGGGGAAGAGGATGCCAATGCAGGCTGTCTGGTTCTGCAGGGGAGCCCCAGTCATGGCCTCTGTATCCTTAGTCAGCTGCTCCTGCAGACCCTGCAGCACCTCCTTCAGGCGAAGGAGAGCCAGGTACTGGTAGTGGTCGAGCCGCAGGCGGACATGCGCAGGGGAGTGCACAAGCACGTGCACGCCCGCCGTGTCCTCCAGCTCCATCAGAGGCCCTTTGCTGTCCACACCGCCGCTGCCTTCTTTCAGGATCTCCATGACTTCCGGAAGGCCTGACAGGCTTTTCAAATCATGCTCAGTCTTTGACCTCTGATGGGACACAGTGTCAGGCGCAAGGACCTCAGAATGGACAGGACTGCCAAAGCTGGCGGACGGTTTCAGCCTCCCTTCTGTGGCCATACGGAGCTTTCGTGCCTGCATTTGTTGCCAGCGGAGGGGTAGGCAGGCCCAAATGGACAAGGGGAAGGCGGCCACAAAGTTCAGGGTGCGGCCTTTGAAGTTCTCTGTTCCCTCAAAGTCCAAGGAGATCTGGGTGAAGTGGATGGACCAGAGGTCCTGGGAAGCCTTAAGCCTCTGAGGGGGGTGGACACTAGACTGTGGGAGGCAGGAATCCATCTGGAAGGCGTGATCCATAAAAAACATGTGCAGAAGGCTGAAGCCACCTGGTACCTTGGGAAACTGAACATAACTGGAATGAAAGAACTCAGTAGCAGCAAAACCCCGGAAGAGACTCTGGAGGTCTGGACGGCTACAGTGTGGAGCATGACGGGTATTGGTGGCAGTCATGCCTGATGCACACAGGACAAGGGACTGGGGACGATGCAACACAGCCCGCTCTCTCCTCTCCAGCGGGAAGCTCACCTTCAGAGAGAAAATGAGACCCAGTTCAGAATGGCCGGCTGAGCATCTCTGCAACCCACCATTAATACATGCGTGACAGACCACTTGGGTTGTAAAACTGCTTTCCTTCTATCCAATGGGCAGAACCTTGATTACAGCCATGGTAGAAATGCAACTGTGGCTGCCAATAGGGAACAGAAATCCCACTCTCTACCCTACCTTCAACCAGAAGGCATCCAGGCGGATGTCCAGATGTTCATCTTTCTGGCGGGAATCTTCCAGCTTGTAGATAGCTTTGAACTGCTCCAAGCTGCGGTACAAATCCAGGCAGAAGAGGTTTCCCCAGAGTAAGCTGACAGGATCCACAGTAAATGTCAGACCATTTAGCTGAATGTAAAGATTGGGACAGGGAACTGGAAAGCAGAGAAAAAAGAACTGACACGAATGAAGTAGCAGCTTGACGCTAATATTCATTTTATTACCAAGAGAGCAAAGGTGTCGGACTTCGCCGGTGGTCCGGTGGCTAAGAGTCCACCTGCTAATGTACGGGACACGGGTTTGACCCCCGGTCCAGAAGATCCCACGTGCCAGAGGGCAACTAAGCCCGTGTGCCACAACTGCGGAGCCGTGCACCCAGAGCCTGTGCTCCGCAACAAGAGACGCCAACAGTGAGAAGTCCATGCGCTGCAGCCAGACGAGCCTCTGCTCGCCACTAGAGGAAGCCCACGCGCAGCCAAAGGCCCAGCACAGCCAAAAATAAATAAATTAAAAAGAGAGAGTCAAGGAATCTTCAGGGCAGAGTTTTCAACAAAAGTGTGCTACACCAACTCAAATGTCTAAAACTCCTAACCAACAGACTAGGAGCGGAGATTCCAAGGCTGACTATTGTGAACAGGATGAGTTAGACAGCAAGAAATGACCAGGGCAGATGCTTACCTGGCAGCTCCTGATTATCAGGGAAGTAATACTCTGTGAACTCAATATGAATGGCAGAGACCTGAGTAGGGAGGTTGTGAAGCTTCCGACTGCAGGACAGGAGTGTCGATGGCTTCTTGCTGGGCTGTCCAGCTGTTGAAACCTAGGCAAAGACAACTGGCTATTAGCATCTGTACCGCACCCCAAACAGAATTTCCTCAGTTTCCTCTGAGGGATAAAGCCTCTATAATTCTTCCAGTTGTCTGTCACAGGGAGTAGAGTGATTTTCACATGGATGCCAGGCATTCTCACACCTGACAAACAGGACCTATGAGTTCATCTTTTTCATGAAAGGTTTGTAGTGGGGTATTCAGAGGAATCATATCAGACCATTACGTCTACTGTGGGTAAGAATCCCTTAGAAGAAATGGAGTAGTCATCATAGCTAACAAGAGTCCGAAATGCAGTAATTAGGTGCAATCTCAAAAACGGCAGAATGACCTCTGTTCGTTTCCAAGGCAAACCATTCAATATCACAGTAATCCAAATCTATGCCCCAATCACTAATACCCAAGAAGCTGAAGTTAAATGGTTCTATGAAGACCTACAAGACCTTCTAGAACTAACACCAAAAATAGATGCCCTTTTCATCATAGAGGACTAGAATACAAAATTAGGAAGTCAAGAGATACTTGGAGTAAGAAGCAAGTTTGACCTTGGAGTACAGAATGAAGCAGGGCAAAGGCTAAGAGAGTTTTGCCAAGAGAACACACTGGTCATAGCAAACACCCTCTTCCAATAACACAAGAGAAGACTATACACATGGACATCACCAGATGGTCAATACCAAAATCAGATTGACTATATTCTTTGCAGCAAAGATGGAGAAGCTCTATACAGTCAGCAAAAACAAGACCAGGAGCTGACTGTGGCTCAGATCATGAACTCCTTATTGCCAAATTCAGACTTAAATTGAAGAAAGTAGGGAAAAACCACTAGACCATTCAGGTATGACTTAAATCAAATCCCTCACAATTATACAGAGGAAGTGACAAATAGAGTCAAGGGATTAGATCTGATCCCAAGAAGAAGAAATGCAAAAAGGCAAAACAGTTGTTTGAGGAGGCCTTACAAATAGCTGAGAAAAGAAGAGAAGTGAAAGGCAAAGGAGAAAAGGAAAGATTTACCCACCTGAAAGCAGAGTTCCAAAGAATAGCAAGGAGAGATAAGAAAGCTTTCCTCAGTGCTCAATGCAAAGAAATAGAGGAAAACAATAGAAGGGGAAAGACTAGAGATCTCTTCAAGATAATTAGAGATACCAAGGGAACATTTCAGGCAAAGATGGGCTCAATAAAGGACAGAAATGGTATGGACCTAACAGAAGCAGAAGATATTAAGAGGTGGCAATAATACACAGAAAAACTATACAAAAAAAGATCTCAATGACCCAGATAACCACGATGGTATGATCACTCACCTAGAGTCAGACATCCTGGAATGCGAAGTCAAGTGGGCCTTAGGAAGCATCACAATGAACAAAGCTAGTGGAGGTGATAGAATTCCAACTGATCTATTTCAAATCCTAAAAGACGATACTGTGAAAGTGCTGCACTCAATATGCCAGCAAATTTGGATAACTCAGCAGTGGCCACGGGACTGGAAAATGTTGGTTTTCATTCCAATCCCAAAGAAAGGCAATGCCAAAGAATGCTCAAACTACTGCACAATTGCACTTATCTCACATGCTAGCAAAGTAATACTCAAAATTTCCAAGCTAGGTTTCAACAGTATGTGAACCGAGAACTTCCAGATGTTCAAGCTGGATTTAGATAATGCAGAGGAACCAGAGATGAAATTGCTAACATCTGTTGGATCATAGAAAAAGCAAGATAATTTCAGAAAAACATCTACTTCTATTTTATTGACTATGCTAAAGCTTTTGACTGTGTGGATCACAACAAACTGTGGAAAATTCTTAAAGAGATGGGAATACCAGACCACCTGACCTGCCTCCTGAGAAATCTGTATGCAGGTCAAGAAGTAATAGTTAGAACCAGATATGGAACAATGGACTGGTTCCTAATTGGGAAAGGGGTATGTCAAGGCTGTATATTATCATATGGCTTATTTAATTTATCTGCAGAGTACATTATGCAAAATGCTGGACTAGATGAAGCACAGGCTGAAATCAAGATTGCTGGGAGAAATATCAATAACCTCAGATATGCAGATGACACCAACCTTACGGCAGAAAGCGAAGAGGAACTAAAGAGCCTCTTGATGACAGTGAAAGAAGAGAGTGAAAAAGCTGGCTTAAAGCTCAACATTCAAAAAACTAATATCAAAACAAAAATAAAAAATGAAAAGAAAAACATAAATGAAAAATGAAAAAACAAAAAGAAAAAGAAAAAAAGAAGATCATGGCATCTGGTCCCATCACTTCTCACTTCATGACAAAGAGATGGGGAAAAAATGGAAACAGTGACAGACTATTTTCTTGGGCTCCAAAGTCACTGCAGATGCTGACTGCAGTCATGAAATTTAAAGATGCTTGCTCCTTGGAAGAAAAGCTATGACAAACCTACACAGCATGTTAAAAAGCAGAGACATGAATGAATGAACTGCTTCTCTGACTCTTTGCAGCTCTGTTTCCCCATATCATGGGCTCCTTACCTGGTGGATGTCCAAGTCATCCACCCTTATGACCAAGCAGCTAGAGCGCAGGCGATTCCATGCTGGAGGCCGAAAGACTGTCTGCCGGCCCTGGGAAGGGCTTCTTTCAAGGGGATTCTTTCGAGGACTGGAGAAAGAATCTAGTAAAAATAAGGTGGGAAAGAGATTCGGATACACTCAATTCTCATTATTAACAGAATTCAGAAAGTAAAAACTCTTAAGATCGTTAACGGTACGTGTAGAAAAGAGCTTGTCAACACTGGCAAGCTTCTGGAGGGAACTCAAAAATCATCTTCTCCTTTAGACCAAGGCAACAGAGATGAATATTGAATAGAGATGCTAACAACTGCTCTTCCTCATTGCAGCTCTGCCTGGAGACAAACAGGACCCATAAAGAAAAGAAGTCATGAATGTCTCTTGGTGCGATAAAGTTAGCATAATTAGCCAGGCCAGTACTTTATTGCCACTGGATACTCAAAGGCAAATGTCAAGTGACAAAGTTATGGGATTCCTCCAGCTCCTCATAACCCACCTGCTTTCCTCCGGAAGGAAGAGTCTACCCCCAGGTGCCAGGGTGGTTTTAGATCTGTCTCCTCATGCCACTTCTCCATCTTACTCTGAAATTCTGTCACCAGCTTCTGGGCCCACTGGCCTCGGGTCTCCATGGCCTCACAGTGACGCACCCAATGTTTACAGCTATCACCTGTGCAATAATGCAAAAAGATTTTAGTCTAAGATCATGATCCAATGTTTTAGTTTTTCTTTTCTATTGGTATAGCTTTCCATAGTTCAGAATCTGATCCCTCACTACCAATCCAAAATTCTCTAAGTTAAGAAAAAATTATCTAGTGAGAGCACTCAAGCTCTTCTGGACTCTGTATGTGATTCTTCCTAAGGCTCCCTAAAGGCCAGCTGCTGACTGAATCTTTGACCATGGACCAGGGGAGAGGCTCTAAAATTAGTGGAAGTAAGGGGCAGAGCACAGAGTCAAATGCCACATCTCAGGCACTGCCTCCCCTCCTACTTCTCATCAATGATAAACAGTCATCAACAGAAGACCCTGCAAGCTTCCAGAGATGTCCTCTTGAAAAAAAAGACTACAGCCAACACCTCTCTAAGGCTGTGCTGCAATCCTAGGCAACCTTCTGCTGGACAATTAGGGGTGAATTCAGGCATCAGTCTTCAACACCTCAGCCACACTAAAACTGCACACGTGCAGCATTCTCCTACCTGCCCAGTGGAAGGGGTAATAGTCAAATGCCATCTTTCGAAAGGTTAGCTGCATCGCACCACCCATGAGTCTGTTTGCAGAGACACCTACAAAGACAAACAATGGTGAAAAGCAGCATAAGAAACAAGGAGACCTAAACACCACCTGAAGCACTGAGAAGTCCTCCTGAGGGTCGGCTCCCAGCCCTGGCTGATTCATGAGTACAGCCAAAGGCTAAAATGGCAGTTGACTTGCGAGGCTGAGGCTATTCTCTTTGGAACTGCAAAGGATATACTCTAAAAGTTTGTGTTTTTTTTTTTAGAAAAGCATATTCCATTATCTCTGTAAATGGCTGCCAGATATCCAGAGAGACAAAAGAAGCAGCAAAACTCAGGATTCCAGAATCCCAATCTTAGGTCTCCCACAGGCACACCTGACAGCATTGGCAGACTGGTTCCCCCAAACCCGGCAATCCGAGTACTGCTGCCTCTCAACACAACACCTGGAGAGGCATAAGCCAAACTCTCCAACAAACAGGGACCAATATTATTTCCTTTCATATCTTAGATAAAACTGTAATATCAGACAGTCATCACACACTGCACAAAGAATGACGGAACATAAAAACACTGCACTAACAAGGACACTATAAACACACAGAAGAGTGTACACAAATCAAAGTTTGTCTGCAATAAGTCAAATATTCTGTTGTTTATCCTGAATTTGATTCTGACTAAATGAATGAACTTTTCATGTTTCTATCTTATCTCTCCAACTGGACTCTAAGCACTGTAAGAACAGGGACTATTTCTTCTCCATATGTGTGATGAAGGACACTTGTTCTGTTCTGCACTTCCATCCTATCCCTTCCACCCTATTTCCAGGTAAAGGGAAATACCGTGGGACCTTCTAACTGTCAGCTGGTGTACCAATCCAATCTAGGCACCACCACCCCAAGGTCTGGACCATTCACCATCCTACCAAGAGGTAAACCTACACCAATGTTACTGCTGCTCAACCTTTTTGTCATCATTAGTACCTCTTAGGAGCCTGTTTAGATGTTTTTTCCTAACTGCTCCGTCTCCATGAAATTTAATACCACAGATATACTGTCTATTATATGTACTAAAGCTTACTCCTTTTATTTAATGCAAGGTTAAGAAAGACTGAACAATTTTTTTAAGTTAAAAGTTAAATTAAAAGATTTGGGACTTCCCTGGTGGTCCAGTGGTTAAGACTCCGCACTACCAATGCAGGAGGCATGGGCTCAGTCCCTGGTTGGGGAAGATCCTGCATGCCATGTGGACAAATAAATAAATAATTTGTTTAAGTTAAATTAAAGATTTAAAGCTATTAATATTGAAATTAATTTTATATTTACTGAGTAACTTTTAATGTAATTTATTTCTTATGTAAATTATAATGTATAGAATCATGTATGCATTTTAGCAATTTATATAAATACATAAGTGATATAATCAAATTTTTATTCAAAATTATGTTTGAAATAAACAAAAATTTTAAATTAATTTCTTAAAATTATTTTTCATTAACCTTTAACTTCCACTTAATAATGAGAAAATAACTTTTAGCTTAACTTTGTTGTTGTTTGAGTCACTAAGTTGTGTCTGACTCTTTGCTTAACTAGGTGTTAGATATTCATTCAGATGGTGTCAACATTTTTTCAACACAATTAAATTACTGACTTGTTGAATAATTTGTGGAATTAAATAATAAAATATAAACTATTTGTATTTAATTCTCAAAGTTCAAATTACAAAAGTACTAAGCATTAACAGGAATTCCCTGGCAGTCTAATGGTTAAGACTCTGCACTTTCATTGCAGGGTGCACATGCTCAATTCCTGGTCAGGGAACTAAGATCTTGCATACCACATGGCATGGCCAAATACCCCAAGGATTAAATATAATCAACACTGATGAAGCAGTCATTGGTAGCCAAGAAGTATGTACAAGCCACCTCTCACTATCTGACTTTGAGATCAAGGACTTTGAAGACTCAGAGTCCTTTAATCACAGCCATCTATTTGCCATAGTTTATAGCCCTGATCTTCCATGAACTCAATATCAACATTGCTCATATGATACCCAAGCAAACTCAATAAGAGAAATTAAATACTAAGGAATAAAATTTTGTGAAATTGTATTAAGCACTAAGCACTATTATAGCTAAGATTTTTTTTCATCCCTACTCCTCACCAATTTTCAATGTCCAGAACAGGCATGCATCAAGACAGAAAGCTCAGTGGCTGTTCAGAGCTGCAAAATGGGGACTGGCAGCTAGTGGGTACAGAGTTTTTTTAAGGGATGACAAAAATGTTCTCAAATTAAGATTGCAGTGATGATCACACAACCCTATGACTGCACTTTAAAACACTGAGCTGTATATTCTAAATGGGTGAATGATATGGTATGTGAGTTATATATCCATAAATATTGCGTGCATGCTCAGTCATTCTTGACTGTTTGCAACCCTATGGACTATTGTACTGAGGGCTCTTCTGTCCACTGAATGTTCCCAGCAAGAATATTGCAGTGAGTTGCCATTTCCTTCTCCAAAGTATCTTCCACCGAGGGATCGAACGTGTGTCTCCTGCATCTCCTGCAGTGCAGGCAGATTTTTTACCACTGAGCCACTGGGGAAGCCCATCAATAAATATATATCTGTTTAAAAGAAAAAAGTGAATTTTATCTACTGACAGTGATAGCATCCCAGTTGAAATGCATGACCTAGGCTACTGGAGGGAGAGTGTTTCACAGCCATGCTCCTATTGGATTTATTTGGAACTAAAAGAACAATCGACTATGCAGACTGAACATATTAAAATATGATCTAGAATCAAAAAATCTAAATCAAATATAATTACCAATTATCAACATATATAATTATAAACACATAATCATATGTGACAAATAAATGGTAAATAGTCTATATAAATGACTAAAATTCTCCAGTGAGATGGTGGAAGGAGGATAGCCTACCCTGAAGAGAGAGAAAGAAAGCTTCGGCTCACAGCCCTTAACCTGAGGGAAATAATTAAAGAGGCAGATGACACTCTTTTCCCCATCAACCACTCACCTCCTCCCGGAAGCCTGAAGGGTGAGCTGCTCCAGTTTGATGTTAAGAGACAGTGCTGCCCCACCCCAAGCCACCGTGTCCTCAATGACCTACAAAGTTTCCAACAACATCACCTCCAACACCAAGGGATAGATAAGTGGGTCAGTCAGAGGCCCCAACATTCAGGCTATAGTGTCCTTAAAGAAAAAGCCGATAAAGTCTTCAAGGAGTCCCTAGAGCAGCGCCGTCCAAAAGAACTTTCTGTGACGATGGACATCTTCTAGGGCCCATAGATTACTTGTAATGTGACTGGAGCAAATGAGGAACTGAATTTTTAACTTTATTTAATTTTTATTTTAATTTAAATAGCCACATGTCTCTCTCTATTTGCTACCATATTGGACAGAGAGTTCTAGAGCAATGCTATCCAATAGAAATGTAACATAAGCCACATAAATAATTTAAAATTTTCTAGTAGCTATATTAAAAAAAGGTTTTCTTTCAAAAAGTAAAATTAATTTTATTATTACACTTTAAACCAATACACTCCAAAGATTATTATTTAACATGCAATCAATATGAAAATAATTATCCAGGTATTCTGCATCTTTTTTTTGTATTATATCTTCGAAATCCCACGTGTATGTTACACTTGTGGGATCTGGATCAGCAGGACTTCCCTGGTGGTCCAGTGGTTAAGACTCCACGTTTCCAATGCAGGGGGCATGGGTTTGATCCCTGGTTGGAAAACTAAGATGCCACATGCTGTATGGCATGGCGAAACAAAACAAAACTTCACTCAATTTGGATCAGCCCATATTTCAAGTGCCCATTAGTGGCTAGTGGCTGCCATATTGACCAGGACAACTCCAGACAATCTTAGAGACCTTCCTATAACACGGAGTTCTTCCTTCTTTCTTCCCAAATCCAAGGGGAAGAATCAAAGTCACGAGAACTCCTTGTGTCCCTTGGCCTTTCACACAGTCATATGCCACATCTGGGTATGGTTGGCTGGGTGTTTTCCCTCTGTCTCATCAAAAATGTCCCTAAAATCCACCGAATATATTAATCCAGCTTCATAAATAAATGGGGGCTTCAGGGAGGGCTAGCCATTCACATCTTAGTGTGGATTATAGAACCCTGCTACATGAAGAAGACAGGGCTCTACACCCTCATCTAGCAAGAGGATGAAACTCTCCACAATGTATTTTTAATGAAGATTTCTGAAAGGAATCATAACAAAACAAAACTCCAAAGTCTTCATAGTAACACTTGGAAGAAATAACTGAACAAAATAATAATTGTTTTAGCAAAGAACTTTCAAAATGAGTGGGTAGCAAACCAGTGAGTGGCAGAAGCCATCTTTACCCTGTCACCGCGCCTTCCAGCTCTCTCATCTAGGGAGTGGAGGGAGGCTAAGTCCCTTCAACGCCAAGGCAGAGCAGAGTCAGAGGCAGTGGAGCCTGGTGACCCAGGAATAAAAGGTAGCTCGTTCCCCCAGGGAAGATGAGTCTCAGTCTCATTAAAAGGCAAGCACAACCTCCAGAGACGATAAGGCAGCAAGAGAACAAGCTACCACATGATGGCATCTAAACCCAGAGCTGGCAGCAAAGGGGAGCCTAGGGGGAGCAAAGAGAACTGAAGGAACCAGCAGCAGAGAAATAATAATCCAAACACTGGCCTATTATTAAGGTCCTCCAAGTGCAGTATATTAACTCATTTGAGCCTGATAACAACCTGTGAGTAAGAAATGATTTAATTCAAGTTCACAGATGAAGAAACTCAGAGAGGTGAAGTGATTTCCCTAAGACTTATAAAGGAAAGAAATGAGCCAATTACTTTATATTCTGAATAAGTGTATATGTGTATTTAATAACAATTGCGCTAATGAATGAAAAAGTATGACAAGAACACACTGTAACCTCTCTGCTTGGGAAGAACACATTTATATATAAATTGACTCAAAGATCTGAAAATCCTGAGGTTTCTTATAGTTGAATTTACCCTCTGGAAAGCTTATAACAGTGCTCAGCAATGCCCACTAGGGAGGAAAAAAAAAAGTATACACTGCTTGGGCTTATCCCTGAGGATTCCAATTTAGTGAGGTTGGGAAGAAGCCCAGCCCCTGTATTTCACTGTCTCACAGGCGGTTCTGCTGCACCCTAAAGGCTGACGGGCAGTAACAGAGAGCTGCCCCAGGAATGCTGAGACCCAAGGAAGACTGTGATGTGCGAAGCCAACAAAGTACCCCAACAGATCTTGAAAAGAGCCTTGCATCCCCCAGAGCTGCAGGCAGTGATGGACCACCCACCCAGGCTCGGGCCTCATGGGATACCTGGCTCTCGGGACTGGCTATCATCACAAACGTGCAGGTCCAGGCGCGAGATGAGCAAATGGTAGGAGGACTCTTTCACATCAAATTTCTCAAAGTACTGGCTGAGGCGGCTGCTGCTGCTGCTGCCCTGGCTGCTACCAAACGCCTGGGCCCAGGACTGCTGCGCGCTGGGAGCAGGTGGGGTGATCTATGTGTGACAGAGAAAAACAAAAAGTCCAGACCCGAAAAAAAAAGAAGTCCAGACCCGGACAGCTTCCTCGCTGGCTTTCTTAGAGCTTTAGTTCAGCCTGAAGAAAACCACAATTTGATAAGATGTCCCTTCCCTCTCAATAATCACTCTTTTTAATCATACATACTTTATTATACACTGAATAGTAATATCTCCTAAGATTTCATTTTTATAGCCTTGAAGAATTTTACACTTTTTTCTTTATATGGTGGAACTTCATTTGCTTTTCTATGTGATAATGATAACAATTATATGTGGTATTACATTCACATAAATAAACATACATCTTTTTACTTCTAGCCCATTAAGTCTTTCCTAAGGTACAGTGATGCCCCTCATAACGGCGGTATGCTTGGTAGCTCACATAGGTCTGTCCCATCTAAACAACCCAAAGAATCCAAAGAAGCCAAATTATAATTAATCTAGTAACTGTCAGAGTCCTGTTTTGACATTTGAACTGCCTTCTAAGCTTCCCTCCCACCCAGAACGTATCAGACTGAGGCTAACACACTTCTCCCAGGAAGTCTCCCCTAAGCGCCCTCTTTCAGCCCAGGATCCCTCTCCTGTGCTCTCGCGGCACAGTGTTCACCTCTATTATAGCACTTATCACACCACATTGCAATAACTTGTTTATGGTCCATATTTTAAGACAGCAAGAGTTCCAGGGTGAGGAACAAGAGGCTGTCCAGTGACCAGCACTGTACACCTAACACACTAGAGGCACCAGATGAATAGAAAAACGGGATAAAGGCACAGGCAGAGCCTACGCACATACAGAAGTGAATGACACATTCCCCCAAATAAGCGGGACAAAATCTAGGCTCCACCTATGCTGGTGTGAATTAGGTCTGGCTTGCCATCTCCCCACCACCACCAAGGGTCTCTGTTTCACCTCTAACCTGTACAGGTTCAGGGGCCAGGCTCTTTCTCTGTTGGGCGGCCTTCTCCATGGCCTCACTCAGCGACTCTGCATATTTCATCATAGCCTTGAGCTGCGAGTCCGTTAGCACCCAGAGCAGGTCATCCAACAGGAACATCAGCTTGGAAGCTATCACATTGCAATCTTTGGTCTGGAGGGGTCACAGAGAACAGAAGCTTCCACATCTGGTACCATCCCAACTCCTCAAAGTGACTACTGCCCAACCAAGTTCAGAGATGGCTTTTCAATCCTCAACACAAGAAAGGAAAATATGAAGTACTTTGGAGAGTCAATTTCTTACCAAACTACAAAAGTTTTCTGTGATTAACAAAAAGCAGCAATAATCAACTGCCTATGTCCCCATATACAGGTAAAACTGTTATTTCCAAAATTAAAACAATGGAGGTAGACATGTTCCCTCAATAGTAGATTCAGTGCAACACTGAACTGCAGATCCTCCCCTTTCAAATGTCATTTCAGGGGCCAATAACACACAAAAAGGAGGAAATACAAACTCCAGCGCTGAGAGAACAAAAGATGGATGTTTCGTAAGGACAGCGAACACACTCACTCTTCTCTTGAGGGCTATCTGGATCCTGCCTTGGTTGGTAATAAGCCTCAATGGAGTGGTGACTGGGTCCTGATCACCATTGTCTGTAGCATCTGCCTCAATTCGAAGTGTTTGCCAAGTTATTTCCTTAAATGTTAAAACCTAGAAGGAAAAAAAGTAAAATCCCTTAATACTGTGGATGAAATTAATCAAGAGGCAGGAAGTCCAAGGGGAAAAGACTGGCAAGGCAGAGACCTCCATCATTCTTATCTGGGATCCTACTCACAGAAGGCAGTGGATCACAAATTCTTAACTGAGGAAAAGTGACACTAGACAGAAGGGATTCTTGGGTTCCCAAGAATGGGGAAGTCTTTGACCCAAGACAGGAATATAGTCATTGGGAATTTGCTATATGACACAGGGAGCTCAAACTGTGACCACCTAGAAGGGTGGGATGGAGAGGAAGGTGGGAAGGAGGTAAAAGGAGAGGACATGTGTATACCTAAGGCTGATTCACGTTGATGTCTGGCAGAAACCAACACAATATTGTAAAATAATTCTTCCCTAATTAAAATAAATACATTTTTAAAACAAGAATGACTCCTCTGAACCCTCCCATTCTCCCCCCTGCAATGGCAGTACTACCTCTCCTCGGTGTGGGTCAGTGATTCGGGTGAGGCGCAGGTCACTCTGCTGCCAGTTGGGGTTGACACTGTAGCCCTGGAGCTGCCACAATTCAAAAGAAGCGTGGAAGGCCTTGGAGTGAATCTTGATGGTGATGGAGTTGACGATGATGAACATCCCCTCCACCACCTTCTCAGCAAAGCCATACTCACTACGACAAACGAGGCAGACCAATATTCAGCATCATGTGAGATTCGGGCATTAACATACTCTCTTTTCTTCTTCGGTTGTGCCATAACTTGCAGGATCCTAGCTTCCTAACAAGGGGTCTGAACCCAGGCCCAGGCAGTTAAAATGCTGAGTCCTAACCACTGGACCACCAGGGAATTCCCTATACATACTCTTTATAATGGAAGACTTAAGACTTTTAATAATGCCTGTCTTTAGATGCTAGAACTGTAGATGCTTTTTTTAAAGTTCTCACCTCCCACTTCTGCTTTATATTTTTTAAATTTCTAAAATTCTTATGATGATGCAGTACTCTTTCTGACGAGAGTTTTCTTTTTTAAGAATGGAATAAAAGAAAGAGTTGACCTAAAAAAAAAAACAAAAGAAAGAGTTGACCTGGAAACAATCTCCTTCTGGTTAGAAAGAATAAGTTGAAAAAAATATTTTCCAAGTCCACAAACTACCTGAATAAATATTTGACTGTTGTCTGTGAGGAGAGATATTATCACTACAGAAAGGAAACAGTTGGTTTCAATAACGTCTTCAAAGACAGAACATGCTCTGTGAAAGTGGTAAAAGAGGAAAGAAGTGCAGCCAGGTGAGCATGAGGATTAACCCTGTGGAATCGAGTCAAGAACAGACCCACCTCTGCCTGTCAAATCCACCCCAGAGAGCACAGCTGTACGTCACAGAGAGGCCAAAACAGCAGGTAGAGAAAAGAAGGCCATCCTTAAAGTCCTTCTAGACACGGAAAACACAGACATTCTTGACATGCAGGTGACACAGTTCTCATTATAACAGATAAAAAGGTCTGGGAATTATAAACTGAATACACATATACACACACACACATCTCTGCAATTTATATCACAAAGGGCTAATATCTCTAATGTATAAAGAGTTTCACAAAACTGAAAAGAAAAAGACCAACAGCCCAATAAAAATGTGACAAAGTAGGGACAGTTCACAGAAAAATAAATGCAAATAGACACTAATCATAAAAAGATGTTCCACCTCACTCATATATCAAAACTATACTGAGAGTCATTTGATTCAGCACAAAAATGACAGTGAAGTAGGGAAAATTCAATAACGATGCATGGTCAATTTGAGGCTACCCATAAAGAGAAAAAATAATGTTGACCTTCATCTTGCATCAAACAAACAAAAAACCAGCTTCAAGATTGATTGTAGATCTAAATGTGAAAGGTCAAACAATAAAGCTAGAAGAAAACATAGGAAAATATCTTCATGCCTTGAGACAGGAAAAGATTCCTTACATAAAACACAAAAAGCACTAACCATAAAGGGAAATAAAGATATATAGGACCACATTAGAATTAATAATGTCTGATCAATAAAAAAATAACATTAGGAGTCTTAGCAAACCCACACAGTAGGAGAAGATATGGGTAATACATGTATGTAACCAAGGACTTGTTTCCAGAATATAAAAAGAACTTCTACAAATTAAAGAGAAAAACACAAATAACCCCCAAAATAAATGGGAGAAAACATCAATGTTTTATGAAAGAAGAAATTTGAAAGTCTAATAACTCATCAATAAGTGTAAACTAAAATCATAATGTGACACAACTATTAGGCGGTTAGAATAAAAAGAAAGACAATACTAAGTGCTAACAAATGGAACACTTATATACTGCTGGGGCAAAATTGGTATAAGTTCTTTGGAAAACTGTTCAGCAGTATGAACTAAAGCAGAACAGATGCACAGCCTATGACCCTGCAACTCTACTGTAGATACAGACAAATCAGAAATGTGTACATGTGTTTACCAAGAGGCATGTATAGGAATGTTGATAGCATTACTATTCTTTTTTCTTCAGTTAAAAATTAAAATTTTAACTTACGTATAGAAAAGATAATTATTTGCAGGATACAAATACAAGGTTTTGACAAATGCATAAAGTCATGTATTAACCACCACACTCATGACAAAGGACAGTCCCATGTAGCAACAGTATGCTAAATAGCCAGAAAGTAGAAACAAACCAAATGTCCGTTTACAATAGAATAGATAACTGTGGCATGTAATGGAATATCATATAGTAGACATGTAACTGCATGGATGACTTTCAAAAACATCATGCTGAGCTAAAAGTATGTAGATACACATGCATTATATGATTACATTTATATAAATTTTAAAATAGGGGAACTAATGTATGGTATTAAAAATGAGGATAAAGTTATCCTTGAGGGGGGTTATGACTAGGAAGGGCACAGGAGGCTTTTGGGATTCTGGAAGTGGTCTATTTTTTATGTGTTAACTGTAAAGAATCACTAAGCTACACATTTATGATTTATGTAGCTCAATCAGTTCAGTTCAGTTGCTCAGTCATGTCCAACTCTTGGTCTACAGCACGCCAGGCTTCCCTGTCCATGTACCTCAATACACTTGACCAAAAAACCACACAGAAGTACCATGTGTCATCTTCAGATTAGGCAAAAATCCTAAAGTTTGACAATACTGTCCACTGGCAAGGTTCCTGGACCTTTCAAGAGAGTTCCAGAAAAACACCTACTTCTGCTTTATTTACTATACTAAAGCCTTTGACTGTGTGGATCACAACAAACTGGAAAATTCTTAGAGAGATGGGAATACAAGACCACCTTACCTGCCTCCTGAGAAACCTGTATGCAGGTCAAGAAGCAACAGTTAGAACCAGACATAGAACAGCAGACTGGTTCAAAATTGGGAAAGGAGTACCTCAAGCCTATATATTGTCACTCTGCTTATTTAACTTATATGCAGAGTACATCATGTAAAATGCCAGACTAGATGATGCATAAGCTGGAATCAAAATTGCTGGGAGAAATATCAATAACCTCAGATATGCAGATGATAACACCCTTATGGCAGAAAGCAAAGAGGAACTAAAGAGCCTCCTGATGAAGGTGAAAGAAGATAGTGAAAAAGCTAGCCTCAAAGTCAACATTCAAAAAACTAAGATCATGACATCTGGTTTCATCACTTCAAGGCAAAGAGATGGGGAGAAAATGGAAACAGTGAGAGACTTTATTTTCTTGGACTCCAAAATCACTGTGGACAGTAGGTACAACCATGAAATTAAAAGACACTTGCTCCTTGGGAAAAAAGCTATGACAAACCTAGACAGAGTATTAAAAGGCAGAGACATCACTTTGCCAACAAAGGTCTGTTTAGTCAAAGCTACGGTTTTTCCAGTAGTCATGTACAGATATAAGAGTTGGACCATAAAGAAAGCTGAGTGTCAAAGAACTGGTGCTTTCCAACTGTGGCGTTGTAGAAGACTCTTGAGAGTCCCTTGGACTGCAAGGAGATCAAAAAAGTCAATCCTAAAGGAAATCAATCCTGAATATTCATTGGAGGGACTGATGCTGAAGCTGAAGCTCCATTACTCTGGCCACCTGATGGGAAGAGCCGACTGTTTGGAAAAGACCCTGATGCTGGGAAAGATTGAGGACAGGAGGAGAAGGGGACAACAGAGGATGAGATGGTTGGATGGCATCACCAACTCAATGGACATGAGTTTGAGCAAACTCCAGGAGATAGTGAAGGACAGGGAATCCTGGTGTGCTGCAGTCCATGGGGTCACAAAGAGTCGGACACAACTGAATGACTGAACACTAACAACGAAGGTTTCCAGAAAACAAGAACTCAAAACATTACTGGTGGTAACACAAAACTGAAATCCTTACAAAGGGAAATTTAGCAATGTCTATAAAAATTATACATGCATTTTCCCTTTGACCTAGCAGTCCCTCTCCCAGGAGTATATTCCAAAATATGCTAGCAAAAAAAGTGGAAACAAACCAAATGTCTATCAACTGATGAATGGATAAAAAAAATGTGGTATATCCATACAATAGAATGTTGTTCAGCCATAAAAGGAATAAAGTACTGATATTTGCTACAACATAGCTGAACGTTGAAAACATGCTAAGAGAAAGACACCAACTTAAAATGACCACAAAATGTATTATTCCATCTATACAAAATGATCAGAATAAATACAGAAAGTACATTTAAGGTTGCCTAAGGCTAAGAACAGTATGAAAAGGCAAAAAGATAGAACACTGAAAGATGAACTCCCAAGGTAGGTAGGTGCCCAATATGCTACTGGAGATCAGTCGAGAAATAACTCCAGAAAGAATGAAGAGACAGAGCCAAAGCAAAAACAACACCCAGCTGTGGATGTGACTGCTGATAGAAGCAAGGTCTGATGCTGTAAAGAGCAATATTGCATAGGAACCTGGAATGGTAGGTCCCTGAATCAAGGCAAATAGGAAGCTGTCAAATGGGAGATGGCAAGAGTGAATGTCAACATTTTAGGAATCAGTGAACTAAAATGGACTAGAATAGGTAAATTTAACTCAGATGACCATTATATCTACTACTGTGGGCAAGAATCCCTTAGAAGAAATGGAATAGTCATCATAGTCAACAAAAGAGTTGGAAATGCAGTACTTGGGTGCAGTCTCAAAAACGAAAGAATGATCTCTGTTCCTTTACAAGGCAAACCATTCAATATCACCGTAATCCAAGTCTATGCCCCAACCAGGAACACTGAAGAAGCTGAACTTAAACAGTTCTATGAAGACCTACAAGACCTTTTAGAACTAACACGTAAAAAATATGTCTTTTTCATTATAGGGGACTGGAATGCAAAAGTAGGAAGTCAAGAAACACCTGAAGTAACAGGCAAATTTCGCCTTGGAATACAGAATGAAGCAGGGCAAAGGCTAATAGAGTTTTGCCAAGAGAACGAACTGGTCATAGCAAACACCCTCTTCCAACAACACAAGAGAAGACACTACACATGGACATCACCAGATGGCCAACACCGAAATCAGATTGATTATATTTTTTGCAGCCAAAGATGGAGAAGCTCCATACAGTCAGCAAAAACAAGACTGGGAGCTGACTGTGGCTCAGATCATGAACTCCTTATTGCCAAATTCAGATTTAAATTGAAGAAA